TGGTTTTGCCTATAAACAGCTAAACCCATTATTAATTTGCGATTCAATTGGCGATTGATAGAATACATGTAAAGGAACAATAGTCCGATGGAAGCCAAAATCTATTTCAAGTTCTGTCAGACGAAATACAACCGCTGCTCGTTAAAAGAGTAAAGCGAGAGCCAGTATATAAATATATCGGATGTTTATTGTTGATAACGGTAAATAAATTGTTTCGACTTTGAATTTAAAAAAAAAAAAACAATTTTTTTTTTTATAAAAAAAAAATTAAAAAAAAAAAACAATTTTTTTTTTTATAAATTCTAAGAATAGTATGTTATAAGTCGTTGTTTGACTTGTACTCTAATACTTATGTATGCTTAATATTAGCCATATATTTTTCATTGGTTGCATTGTATATGCATATAAATATGGAAAAGCGCAACTACAAACGGTTCCGCTGTACTAAAATTGTGCCTGGTACGAGTTGTGCAAATGTGCTACTGTAAGTTTTTTTTTTTTGCATTTTTTTTTTTTTTTTTTTTTTGCTTTTTTTCATTTTTATTTCCTTTTGCCAGACTTGCAGCATGTGGATGCTGTATTTGCTAGTAGTAATGTCTCTCCGGTCACTGATCTGTTTAATGTTAGATCGCAACTCAACTGAAACTATTGTCAGTCAATATTGTCATTAATCGAGTGTGTGCGCATATGTCCATGAACATTTTCACACACAATTTCTTTTTCATATACAATCCTTCTTAAAGGCAAACAATAAGCATACCAAGCTTATCGTTTTCTTTATATTAAGCCAAAGAAGCCTTAGTCCTTGAATGGAAGAAAAATGCATCTTCCTTTCCTTATTTATCATGTACAGATAGCTTGATTACTTCACTTAAGTAGATTTTTCTTAGCTGCACTTCTTTGCTTAGCTAGGCTAGAGCAATGTCATATATATTTTCTTTGATTTTACTTCCATTTGATATTAGCATGATAAAGCTATGTACAGCTAAGTTATATCACAAACGGGTTATAGCTCGAATAGCTTTCCTTTATCAAATTTTTATATTACTTAGCTTACTTTACTTTTGTGGGGCCTAGCGTGCCAGAAGCAGAATCTAAGCCTACCGGGTCAGAGAGAGGGTCAGCGTATATGAGTGTCCAAACAACAATTTCACAAGATACACATTAATATTGTATAACCATTGGCGTACTTTGGCTGCTAAGCAAATAAAAACACTGTAGTATTCTACGACCCACAATTGAATATCCTACCACCTTACAGTTCGCATCAAGTTGCATCCAAATATCTCAAAAATTACATTTTGTAAGTTGACCAAAGAGAAACAAGGCGGACAGACGGACAGACAAGTTCAGAACGGTATAGTTTCAAGTCCTTCTAAGCTTTGTATATAAATTTAATACACCCTTATATCCAAAGTGGTGCAGCGTATAAAATTGGTTAACATGAGGTGAGAAGATACGCTGTTAGCTAATCGGTTTATTAGAGAGCTGTTTAAAAGAAAAATTCGATAAATTGAAATACAAATATTTTAGAATAATCGCCTTTATGTGTTTCCATAATTTAAGATTCCAATGGGAGTTTTACATCATTGAGATCTGCTTGCATTACTTGTTACCTTCTGCCTTCTAGATTACCATAAAAGTTTTTTCCTTACGTTGGCTCGTCGCTAATCGCCACACTGTTTGATCTAGTGATTAAATGTACGCACGTGTAGTATACTATTCGTATGCAATTTTCAAGTGTTCGTAATTCAAATTTCAAAACTATTTCAAAACATTTAACCTAATAAGTGTCAACAGATTTATATTTGTACATTCGATACTTCAGGAATGCTTAAGTGCGCACTCGATCATGTGAAGTGTCCAATGTTTTGCCTACCATGCATATTATAACTCATTTTCATTGATTGGCAAGTAACTATAGCTCTTAAGATTTTATTATTAAAGAATATTGAAATTTCTTCGAGTTTATTTTAAAATAAAGGTGTAGTGGGTCAATAAAAAAAATCAACCAAAACGGAATGCAACTTTCTCGTTTACTTTGTCCACATATCATATTCTGCCCAAAAGGTCAAATGAAAACGCTTTCATCAGGGAGAAGAAACGTTAAGGAATTATAAAACATCTTATCTACTACTACTAGTAAATACCAGATTCAACATAAGTTGAATGAGGACAAATTCCAAAAATGTCAAGCGGGGTTTTCTTAGGTCGCGAGACATAGTTATACCTTTCACTACATGTTGTGCAGAGTACACTGAGTGTGCGCGAATATATGTGGAAAATCGTGAAGAAGCTAAGACAGGCCCAAGGTTTATGACATCCATCCAAGCTTGTCTGTCCGTCTTGTTTTCTTCTGCAGACCGCATATTTTGGGATAGTTTGATAAAACTAAATACACTGACGAGTTTTGACCTAAGGAGGGCTGTATCTATTCATCTGTACGTCCGTGTACTTTTACGTACGATCTGAATGTTGCAAGACCTTTATCGCAGTTCTTCGCAATTTTGAATTTTCTCGTGAAGTGTCGCTAATAATTAGCTTTTTTAAATCCCCTTTCGCATTACAGTTCCTACGAAGAGTAAGTCTTACACGCCCAAAAAGTTAATTTTGAACATTTTGCAATGAAAATTGATTCGTAATAGTAATTTAACAAAAAATTAGTTGTATCAACCTTGACCCACGTAGGTTTATTTTTGGACTTTACCTCATCTAAGGATTCTTATGAAAAATGTGCCTATGGAAATTACGTAAAATTTTATAGTACTTAAGACCAAAATAAACGAAAAATCGAAAAAAGTATGATTCTTAACGGTCGACTTTGCCCGTCTGTAACGTTTTTACCTTGTTTATCTAACACTTACGACTGACTACCTTTGACGCATACTACGAAGCTTTATTATCAATAAAAAAAGAATCGTGACTTAGCTTACGAGCACTACGAGCTTTAAGAGTAGATTATCAAAAATGGTCGTTTGAGGGGAATTTAGCAAAATTTGCGACTTTCTTATGAATTCAGACAAATAAGATAAAGCGCAAACTTTCGCAATAATTTTTCTTAGTAATTCAACAAAAATATTCTTTCATTTTTCACATGTTATAAACACAAGTTTGTATACCGCAAGTTTAAATAAGGTCTCGATCAATAATTCCCGAGAATAAGCAATAAATTCTTTGCAAAATGCGTTTTTATTGATAAGCAGAGTTTCTCTTGCAATTGATGGCGTAAGTAGGCGTAATGGCTTACTCCAACGTTTTTATGCCTTGCCTTATAAGGGAAATTTGTCAAGATTGTCAAAACATGGTTTGGTTTTCGCAGCGATCTCTTCCGTTAAACAAAAACTTTTCCATGACGTACTCTTTCAAGATTTGCAAACAGAGAACGGTCGCTAAAGGCGCAACTTGGTAACCAATGCGAATTTCAGTTCATCGAATTGCGTCATTGTAGCCGTTACCTTGTGACACTTTGACCATTTGGACGGTAATTATTTGGAAAACAGATATACCAAGTCCAAATTTCAATGCAATATGGGGAATGAACTGCCTTTGAATATATTTCGGATGTCTGCTACTCTTCGCTTCACTTCACTTTCCGATCTTCGAGAGTAATGTCGAGGAGTTTTTTTTTTTTTATACTTTCTATAGCTTTTTAAAGTCCAATGTTTTCAGCATCATCGGCGTCCGTATGATTTCATTTATAAAACAGCAGACCACCAACATATTATGTTATTTTCAATCAAGGAGAATTTCCAGAATGCTTTCCAAGCCAATACTGACTTTGAATTGTATTTTTCCCCCATCAAAACCAATATAATTAAATAGAACTTTTTGTTTGTACTTTTCATTGTAACTCGTAAACACATCGCTCGAAGGTTGGCATTTTCTCTCAGTCCCGGGAATTATTGATCAAGGTAACCGAAAAATCATTATGGGTAACATGAAAGTAAAGTTAGCGATTTATTAAGAAACTTAAAAAGGTTATATCAAATGTTAAAGTTATAGTTTTTCTCAATTGCTTTACATCACGACTATGCTTTACTTGATCCATACAACATTTTTTAGTTCATTTTTATACCCTATGAATCTTGTGGTACAAAGGTTTGTGCAGAAGTTTGTGCGGATATATGCAACATAGCACTTGAGATATGATCACCTTTTATTATACTGATCGGTTGTGTCTGTCCGTCTTGTTTTCGTTTGTTCAACCTATACGCCGCAATTTTTGCGATATTTTGGTGAAATTTAGTAAACTGAAATGTTTTCGCCTATCAACGAGCTCTGTTGAAAATGATTCGGATCGGACCACTTCCTCGACGACTTCTCATATAAAGTCTCATTTCGAAAAGACTTAGGTAGATAACTTTAGGATGGTGTAGGGTATTTAAGAGTGGACCATGACCTACTATAGTCATTTTACTGGTCAAATATCATTTTAAACATTTTCAATGCATAAAATAAGTGAGTTAAAATTTGTCTTGGTTTTCATATAAACGCAGTTTCCTCATTGATTTCAAATTGTCATAAGCAAGTATCATACGTGTTGCTGTTTTTTTTGTCATTTTCATGCGAATTCGATTACACAACAATAATCCCAAGATTGAAAAATTTGTTTAAGATTTTTCTTTTATTTTTATTGTTATTTATTTTCTAAACGTCTCCCTATAAGTTTTTTTTAAACATTTCATCATTATTTCTGAGTCTGATGACCTCCTAAGAGCCATCGTTCGTTTTGAGAGATGGTTGTGCCGCCGTTTGTGTGTTATTATTATGGCTTTTGCGGCGGCTGTTTCCACTATTATGTGCTTATCATTTGAACTTCAGCCCCCAATAAGTAGAAAGGAAGGAAAAAAAAGAAGAAAAACACAGCTTGAAAGCTAAAGCTAAAGTGAATTTACGTTTTTATTTATTATTACTTCTGTGTATTTTGGATTTTTACATATTATTTTCCTATGCATGCAGTCAGTCAGTCGTCGTTAGTGCATTAGTGTTTGTTTTTTTTTTTTTTTTTTTTTGTGTTTTTTTTTCCGCTTTACTTTCCGAAAAGCAGTCTCTCTACGTTTTTTGTTGTGTTCACTTTGCGATTCCAGACAAAAAACGCTGTTTAATTTAGTATTTTAAAATAATTTTCTTTGCATTCATTCGATATTGAAATTTAGCCGAAGAAACAAGTTCTCTATCAATAAATGCATAATTCAATATTATAATTATATTTTTAATAAAACTCTTTAAGAATAATTTTCAAAATACTTAAATTGAAAAAACAAAAAAAAAAAACCTGATAAATTCAATACGTCTTCACTAACTGATATAAATTGCGTAGTAAATATAAATAAAAATAAAAAAAAAACAAACATAAAAAAAAAAAATTAAAAAAAAATGTAAAACTAAATATAAAAAAATATTTGCTCGAATGTCGTATCAATCAGTATCAACAACGTTGGCCAAACGCAAACTTGTATTCTAACTAATCGCTTAAATAAAAATAATAATAATAGAGTCGAAAATTAAATTAAAAATTTTTAAAGCCATTTGGTTTTGTTTTTTTTTTTAATATTAATTAAGGAAAGAAAAACAACTTTTCCAAGAGTGATTGTTAACTAATGCGATATTACTAACGTTCAGCACAAGCAAACTGAACCGAGAGAGAAAACTCAACAGTGTAAAGTGTTTTGCAGCATAGATAGATATATATATATACACACACAAATATATATATATATATATATATTTACGTGTATAAAATATATTATATATGTGTTAGCGTTGGTCTTCTGAACTTTGACTGGCCATGGCATTCTTTCGCAAATGGAAAACCCACTATAAACATAAAAGTGAGTATCACTTATGAATCCTCACGCATAACGTTGATAATATCGTGGAAAATTAGCAAGAACAGCTAAAACAAGTAAGACAATTATGTTCGGTTGTGATCGAATTTCGTATACCCATTACCGTCATCCTATTTTCGTACAATAAATTTGTGGAAACTTATATCGTGCATATATTGTCGTTTATGAGCAACGAGCAAGACAGAGATAAAACTCGCTGTAGTAGGCGTAAGGGCGTTGTAGGAATGTTCTTTGAAAACTTTGGGACGTTGGCAAATTCTTTTTCGAGTTTGTAAGCGATGTCTTCATTTTTGCGAACGGCAGAAGATTTACGACAGTTACTACGCATTTGCGCAGGCGGACCGACGGACAGACGAACAGATGGCCACATGCGAATTTGAAATTGGCTAAGAACGTATATGCTTTATGAGGTTTTTGAAACTTCTTCGCGCTTCTGCGTGTTATATAACTATATTCGAAAAAAATATGAAATTATGGCACATTATCACATTGGACAAGCGTGGTCAATTTTTACCAATATTGTACAAACGCTATGGCATCGCCCCTAAAATACACACTTCAATTTTTGTCGTCCATAAGCAATGGGCAAAAAACCATGGGCAAGAACTTCCAATTTTCTACTAAATTTGAAGCCAGGAGCATGTTTACATTACACGTACAGGGTAAAAATCTATATTCATATATATATATATATATATATATATACGTCAATTTCTGGGTTAGTAAGCTTGCGAACAGCAGACGACAGGCATAGACGTAAAATCTAGGGCCCTATGCCCATAAAAAACTTATATGTCTCTATGTAAGGACGTCTAATGAAAGCCTTCAGATGGCACCTATTTTAGATTTTTATCAAAAGTGTGCTCGCGTTACTTGAGCAAGGGTTATTCATATTATACTCTTAAGCATTATTCAGCTCTTCATTAACACGTTGTAGTCATCGCCCATGCTCTCGAGAAAATTTGCCATATTTTCCTAACTCGATATGATTCAGAGAAATTTTTCATAAGACTTTTAATCCGGTTTCTTTTCATGGCGAAGTTTTGTTATTAACCCACTCTTGCATAATGCGGAAGAAAGTCGTACTAAATGCTTCTATTAGGCAAAAGAAAGAAAAAATATAGTTACGCATACCCTTTGTGATACCATATTCCCGAGTGCAACCGGCAAATCTAAACCGTGTCATTATTTTCACTTAAAACTAAGATCGGAAATTGGGAAGATTATCGATTTCCAATTCATATTCACTTTTTCGAGAAAGTCGTTACCTGTCCGTCTTTACTTCTATTCCCCTACGGGAATCTCGAAAAGAGTGAGATGGATAGAGCGAAACATCTTGCCGTGTTTATTGTCAATGCATTTTACATCCTCTTAGATCTCTATCTACGTAAAGGTACAACAAATTTTTATCCAATCGATCGTGAAGCGATCGTGAACGAATATCATTCATTTTCCTTGTCTACAATATATAGATTAAAGTATTAATTGCTTTCCTATTTATTGCTTAAACTTAATCTGTTTTCATTTTCTATGCAAAATGAATGCGAATAATTTTTGCCAGATTTATATAAAATTTCCTCCTTAACTGACGCAACAAGAGCTTTAACTATTGAATTCGCCGAAATACGCACGAATTTAGATAATCATCAATTATACATTGTTTCGTTTCGAATTTTATATTATAATTATCGTAATATATTTTTAATATTGCAAACAATATTATGAAACTAACATGGCTTGATGGAGTGTACAACAAAAACATTTGTATTTTGTAATATATACAACTTTTTTAGGTTATTATCTTCTTATAGTGATCTCACATTAAAAGTGTCATATTGTTTTTGTTTAGTTTTCTTTTTTCGTTTTTTTTTTGTTTTTTTTTTTTTTTTTTGAAACAGGGCGTATTAAACCAGATTTAATAAATTGCGATAAAAAAGTTGACGAATTGGTTTTGTAAGATAAAAACTTTTAAGAGTAAACAGAAAGTCGTTTGCTAAAAATAACTAAGTGGCAAAATTGTTTTATCTATTTTAAGCATGCACTCAATGCAAATCAAACAAATGAAAATGACACAACCCGGCAAAGTGCATTTCTCAATACCCTACTACAATAAGGCTGTTGTACACTTTTAGCTGTTTAATTACTCTTAAACAGATATGAAGACGGCTTCTTTTAAAGCTTTCACAACATTATTGTATTTTTTAACCTTCATGTTACGGGAAGGTAGGGTTTTCTTACTTCCTCTACAACCCATCAATTTAGGTGTTCTAAAGGACAAACAATAAACTAAATACTGCATTATATTTATATCTCTTACTGCTTGTAGCACGGGATATATTAACTTTGTGCGGACATACGTAACACGCAGAAAAACTTAAGATGCATTCATCTTTTATTACACCGATTGATTCAGAAAATGATTCTGAGCACTTTGGTGCTTCGGCTTGACTGCCTGCGGTCTGCCTATCACGTAAATTTGTGTTCAAACTGTGGGTGGCGATTTTTACAATATTTTGATAAACTTTGGTACACGTGCACGTGTTTTCATACTGCTTCGGAAAGTTCCACTTTTTCGATCATTCCCCATTTAAGTTGTTATTGAATAGTCATTATATGGGAATAGGTTGCCATCTTCAAAGTTTTTCGGCAAAAGATCGGTGAATAATAATATTTGGACATTGGTGTGAAAGATTTGATTCGGCGGGGCAATTTTTTGAACCATTTCCCATATAACCTTTCCTACGAAAACCAAAACTTTTTATAGTAAAAGGGTATAATTTTTAATTTTTCATGGTCAAAATTAGTTCATAACATTAAATTGATATAGAAATCAACTTTAGCGATGTTGAGTAGTGTGAATCAATTTTTTCGATATCACCGCATATAAGAGTTCATTCGATATGCGGATTTTTAGGAAAAATATGCCTTTGCATGAAAATAATGTTTGGTGTATTATTGCCAAAACGAGTGAGTAACTTTATTAGGCGAAGAGGTGTAGGGTGCCTAATAGTCGGCCTAATGTTCTTCCTTTTCTGTAGTAAGTAGCGATCACCTCAGATATACACTTATTAATCACCAATGATCGAAAAAGTGCTCCCACCCCAACCATGCTGAATAGCGTTCGTCCTTGCGACGAAATATGTCAGGGCACCAAATTTTATTAAAATATCTCAAAAACTGCGATCTGGAGAGAACAAGCCAGACTGAAGACAGTCAAGCTTAGAATCAGAATCATTTTGTGAATCGATCGATACAATAATAAAAAAGTCCATGTCGAGTCCTTCTGGATGTTGCATACATGCGGACACACTAAATACACCTTTGTACACTCTTGTACAAATAGACACAATTTTTGGGATATTTTAATGAAAATCGGTACACCGTCGCATTTTGGTCGCTCATGGAGAAGCGCTACTGAAAATGGTGCGCATCAGACTTCTCATATAATGCCTTACTAAGAAAAGTCGTTATATGAACGCATCTCGTAAGCAGGGAATATGGTTACCAATATTTTGGAAATGGTTCTGAAGCGCTTGACATAGAAAAACTCTTGAAGTTCATAAAGTTTGTTGTATATAGTTTCTTATCAGTTAATTATAAATAGAGAATATTCAAGACTCTGTAACAATTCGATAATTACTCAAGTCCGCTTATTACTGATCATAAAGAGAGATCGATAATTACAAATAATGGAAATAAGTTTTAAATTTCAAAAAAATGAGATGCGATTTTTTATTTAAAGGGGGGAACGGGGGAATTATGAGCAGTAATAACATTTAGAGGAAAACTACTTAACGCACATAAGAGCTTGAGTTGATCTTTGCTGAATCACATTGTTGTTGTTATTTTACTTTTCATATTATTTACTTGTTAATTAATTAGTTGAATTAATTCCTTTTCTTTATTACTTTTTGTTCTTCAGAATTCACATCCGATGATATTGTTGATGGCGAAGATTGGAATTTGGGCGTTAAAGGCTTAAAGGACGCTAAGCAAGTGGATGATTTGAAATTGAATTGGGATGGCGTTGGCACTGAACCGGATGAAGATGACAAGCCGATCTTTCAAACATATGATATTAAGTATTTGGGTTGTACACCAATCGAGACTAAACGTTCCGAGAAAGTAACATCGGAGGCTATAAAGACTGTGATTGCAAATGCTAAAGCTGGCGGTAGAAAAATTAAATCACAAAAACGCGTTAAACTTAATGTTTCCCAGGATGGGATACAAGTGCTAGATCATGCCACCGATGAAACCCTAATGCATTTTTCTATATATAAAATATCGTATTGTTCGGTCGATGCATCGCATGATCATGCATTCTCCTTTGTAGGCTCGGAACCCGATCCCTTATCCGATCAAGAGAAAATGTCTTGTCATGTTTTCTTATGTCCGAAACGGAAAATTGCTCATGAAATCACTTTATTGGTGGCGCGATGTTTTGAAAGTGCTTATCAGACATGGCGAGATACGGTAGTGCAACAGGTCAAACAACAGCATCAACAGCAGAATGGTAAAGTTTTAAAAGAACAAAATGGTGTCATTGAATCAAAAGCTGAAGTACATTACTCTCAAACAATGGATGATGATAAGAAACACGACAATCCATTAATTGATTTGGCTACAAGCGATAATGACGTACGAAAATATCTACAAAATACTTGGGTCTCGTTCGATGACGAACCATCGCAGCAGCAGGAAAGTTTTCATATAACCGCTTACTAAGGGCATAACAATGACAAAATAACACTAACGTACGATAAGTTTTTAATTAAGTAGTATTTTAATTTTAAAAAAAGTTAATCAAAAATAAATTTTGTGCATAAAAAATTTATCTTTTAATTGTATTGTGCTTTATATATCCGTGATTTTTATAACTCATTGTAAACATATCTTAAAATGTAATAAACATAACATGACATGAGTCATTCATTCAACTTGTTGTCATTGACAAGAAAGGACAAATCGAATGCCGGGAAGACGCATGAGTTTGGAAAAAATAAATAAAATAAATGCTGATGATTATTAATGTCTAAAAAAAAAAAAAAAAAACAACAAATTATTAAAAATAAAATCTTTTTTTAGCGATAAAAACTAATTAAAAGTGAGAGTAAAAACAAATAAGTTTAAAGGATAAGCATCTAGAGCAAAGAGAATAAACATTTACATCGACCAGGAAAGAATGAGTTATACCAGATCACGTCTATTACGAAAGTTTACAAGGCCTTATAAAGCCGACAGAAAGACAGGTTTACCTATTTTTCGGACTATAAGATGCACCGGACGATAAGATGCGATTCAAATTTATGAGATGATATTTAGAAAAATATATTTTAATGTTACGTTCGGATCAAAATTTTTGTTTATTGCTAACATAACTCGCACTGACAATATTCAGTTCATCTTCACCATCGGTACTATCACTCATCTACTACTAGCACTCGTTAATGCCATCGTTCATGTTGCTTTCATCTCAACTATTATTATCACTCCTTTCAAATCAGAAATTTAGAGAGAATTTTTTGAAAAATATCTTTGGACCATAAAACGCGCCCTCAATTTGAGTCCTTTTTTTCTATGTAAAAATGCGCGTCTTGTAGTCCGGAAAATACAGTATGTGGTTTTAGGTACGCGAGAACCATTCTTTTCTCACTTCCTCGTATAGTATCTGCATTTATCATTTTTCTGACGGACGGAAGTACGGCCGTTCTGTTACCTAAAAATAATTCAGAATAATATTAAGTATAAACAAAAATATCAGTGTTTCCCAGTGGACAGTAAAAGAGATGTACATATAAAAATATAAAAATAACGCAATAGTCGCTTCGATTCCTTTAGGCATAGATCAAATTAATTTACAGCAAGTCTACTGGAATATTGTGCGGAACTTTTTGAATATTTTCTCAGAATTCGTTTTCATTACTACAGGAAGCTTGACTGCAAAGGTTTTTATTAAGACTGAGGCCGAGGGAATGGCTTGGTCGTTTAATGATATCGAAGTTTTAATCCCAAAACCAAACTTTCACCAAGTTGGACGAATTTTACGGATCATTACCCTGCCAAAATTTCCATACTATTGATATATTTTCTTCGGCATACGGAGGCATTATTGCTCCCAAAAGCGTTTTATATACAAATCTATTCATAGTGTCTTCTATCAGATGTATCAAATCCACACATGTCATGCTTCACTTTTTCAGTAAATCTCGTGTGGAATATTTTTTCTTTTGACCTGCGGGCTTATCATCCCGTACCATTACGAAACCAATTTTTTGCTCCGTCATTCCGAAGTAAATTTGCCCTCTTTTTTTTCGCCTTCTGATCTGCACCAATTTTTATGGACTAAACCACAATCTTTCCTCCTCTATAAATTAACTTTTCGGGGTAAAGGGGCATTCCGAGCTACTCTTCCTGTTAAATTGGCATCTAGTAATCGTTGGGGATAATACAACATTCCCAATTTTATTTGAAATTGGTCTAGACGACTCGAAGTAATCTCGCTCTGCTAAACTTATCATGCGATTACTTGCTAATATTGTCATGCGATAGTTCCGCGTCTTCCAATATTTTTTTTGGGGGTCTCAAGCATTCGTGATGAAGTTTTGTGGCTAACTTAGTGATGCAGAAATAAAATTGGACGTTAAACCATATTGTACATGCTCCTCGAGAAAAACTATTTGCCTTTGTAACCCACTTTTAAAGCAAAATATTACAAAACCCTTCAGTTTTCACCACCTATTTCAAGGCCAAGCTGAAAAAGCTACTAAGGAAATATAAAAGCCCTCAACTTTCTACTGCGAAAACTGGCTCACATGAGATGCGTGGCATTAATTCTGAATAGTCCTGCGGCATGTAAAAATTTTGAAGGGGATTTATGGAAACTACATTTTGCAATTTCTTTGGGGTAGAACTAAAAAATATACCTCGCACTTATTTTTCTGTCCATGAACATATATATCCATCAGTGCCCATGTGTCTCACGCTCTTCATTCGAACATGCGCGGTCGCAAAGAACGCGGCGGAAAGCTGAAGCCAGACAAAACTATGGTGCGCAATTTAGAATAGGTGTTGATCCAAACTTTTATGAAAGTTAAGGAAGAAGACAATACGAAATATCACCTAATGCAACCGAAAGCATATCGTTCTTCAAAGCTAGTGCAAACGATAATCAAAATTGGTCTAAATAAAGTGAAAAAAAACAAGTTACATATATGCTCGTCTGAGGTAGTCGCCCCTAAGGAAAATGCAATAATATAACTGCCTAAAAAAATGCTCATCCAGCATTGAGGACTATGGGGACTATTTTCGAGCCGCACTATTTGACGAGTCCTTCGTATGTTAATTGGATTAATGAAATTGTCAATGATATTCGTAAAATTCTATGCAGATGCAGCTGCGTATGCCATATGGTGTATGGAGGGTCGGTTACTAAATTTATCGACGTTGTTCGCGGGATTCCGCGTAAACATTGTTGCTATGTTCGCGAGCAACGACCCGTTCCTATTAAAATCACATAAGAGGACCGTTACGACCGCGAAATTACGAACAGATTGGCGCCGCTTAACCGACGTAAACCTATGGGTTAATCAAGAGCATAAACACAGATATCGGTGGTAAGCTACCAGGCTGTGCATTGAAATGTGAATAAAATGAAAACTTTACGTAACAACAACCACTTACGTGAACAGTATTTATAGCGCTTCAAAGATATGCTCTCCAGGATAGTTCTTGTTATTTATTAACCCGCAAATATATGATACAAATATACATTTCATGAAATTGTGAACAACATATGCAAAGATCATTAATTAGCAGCAGCAGCAGAAGCGGGACGTACGTTAGTCGATTGATTCTGATTTGTACATTCTGAAGGCTTGTGTAAATCATCTTCTACAACGAATGGACGCGGTTTACCCTCCTGGGACTCACGCTTGGGCGTTACGTAAATAAAATTGGTAAAGCTTACATTTATTTTACCACTATTACGTAGAGCAGGCAGAGCACGTGCAGGAGTGGCTGCAGGAGGACGATTGGTAACAGGAATTGATTGCGATTGCGGCGACTGTGGTATCGGTTTGGGTACTGGCGGCATTTTAACTGGTACCACTTTTGGCTTAACGTGAGTCTCCTTAGGTGCTATGGTCATAACATCATGACAAGCTTGCTCTTGAAATTTTTTCACTCTCTCTCGCATGGCAGTTTCGCGTTGCACTTCACGTTCGATTTCAGCGCGTCTCTTTTGATCATACCGTTCCAAAATTCGTTCGTCGCGCTCTTTATTGCGTGCGACTATTATATCCGAAATTTCCAAACGTTTTTGAAAGAGTTCTTCTTTCGAAAGTTTTTTAAAAATTTCATCCCAAACACCTTTACGTTTTTTAATTAAAACTATACGTGCTTCGTTTTTAAGAATACGGCAATAACTGGCTACCTCATCGATTTCGTGGGCCAAATGACGTTCAAAAAATATGGGGGGATTGTTAAATTTCAAGTACGTCGGCAAAAGTACGACATCGGGACGTCGTGTTATCAACCGATTCATCTCAATAATTATTTTTATTTCCTCGTCGTTTTGTGTTACTTGCACCATTATTATATTCCCGTCTAAACTAGCTTACTTCTAACAAATTCAAAAATTTTCTGAAGCAATCGAATGAAAAAATCATTTACAATAACTTGACGTTTATTACTGAGAAATATATTTCGCTTGATTCAGTTTGAAAATGCTCAATATTTGTTTCTTGAATCTCAATTATAAATAAATATATATAGTTTTTTTTTCGAAATTTTATATCCAGTGTTTATATTAGCCGGTAAACCAATTGCTTAGTAACCGAAAGCAAAAGTTTAATATTTATCTATTGACTAAACATAAAAATATGTTGGATCATAGAAATTGATTGCTTGTTAACTGGTAAATATTAAATGCCAATTATTGATATTATTGCCGACTTTGATTGCTTTATGATAATAGGTATTCGTTTCTATTACTTTTAAATAATGATTGTTGCGTGTCACGTATTGCATAACATAAATGATGGGAGTTGATGCCCTTTTTATTTTTTTGTTATTTACGGTATATCACTGGCAAGAGATAATGGAAAACTTGTCAGGCATTAGTTAAATTTTAGAAATCTTAGACCGTATAATAGAAATAACTACTTCTGAATCCGATGATCACAGAAAAGTGATTTATTTGACTTGCATTAAAAATGCTTTTTTCATATTCATTATCTGGAAAAGAATTTTTTTTCTTTTGAAATTTCAATCCCTTCCATAGGCGAAAGCTTTGGCTTATTTTTAACTTCTCGAACGCCTTAATATCTTCAGAAAGTCTTTATGTTCATTTAAAGGCATTTCCAAACAAAAATATGTTAGAATCGCCTCACCAAGATGCCAGTGCTTCTGTCAAGAAGTTAGAAGGTATTTAATTATTATCAATTATGAATTCGATCGAAAACTTCTGTATATTACTATCGCTAAGAGCTACGGCAACAGCGAGCTATTCTACAAAGAAAAAAAACGAGCAAGAGTGTGCATGGCATACTTGTACTCCGGGAAATGCCGACCTATGAAAAAAGAAGCTGCAAAACTTTTTATAAGATGTCTAAGCACTTGTCTAGAACTTTAAACCTGCTTTTCTTGAAGCATGAATTTTCATAATAATAACGCTTACAATCCTCATTCTTTTCTTTTAAATTTTTCCCATTTTCTTTAAAATAACAATCTGAAATGAAAATCTACATATTTTTCCAAATGCAATTTAAACTTTGTGTAGCTTTTGGACGAAATTTGGCCAATCATGGAGCAATCGGTACCATCTGTATATTAAAGGACTTGTTGTTTTAGATTAAAATTTGCACCGACACCAGGTAAACGGGTGAGGGATCCTTAAATTGAAGATGTGCCGTAATAATTACCGCAGTGCTGTCATTTTTTAATGTAAACAATTTGGAAATAAGAGGTTACGATTCATTTATTAGAAACACTTCTTCTCTTCAATTTACTTGTCCGATTCAATGCAAAATAAATAATCCTTAATTTCTAATAAGCCATGTGTATCACAAATTGGAATTAATATTTAAATACGGGCAGTCCTATTCTACCAAATATCTGAAAGGCTACTAGAAGATTCTACACGCTTAAAATCGATGCAAGAGCAAACGATTTTTGCCAAATTTCGGTGCTATTACATCTGTGTAGCTTTTATAATCCTTTATAGTTTTCCTTCGCACATTAGTTGCCGCGAATAACATTTTTCCCGCGCTTTTATGATACGCTTCCTTGTATTGTTACTCGCTAGTGCCAATCATTATATGCCAATTTTTCCCCATTTTTGCTGTAGAAAGGTAACGACCTTTACTTGTTACTCAAATATATGCAGCTCCAGATCCTAGCAAAACTTTTCTGTGCTTGGAGTTTTTATTGTTACAATTCTTCTCAATATTTTCGTTGTTCTTCACACTAGCTAGGTTTCTTTATGTTTACATCTTTTGCGCTATAAGAAAATAACTCTTAAGATTCTTAAGATTCAAGTCCCTTGAATAGCCCTTATACATCACCATTTATTAAAAGGTAATACAATATTTCAAAATTTGGCCAACTTTTTTCTTATTTTTAAGTACATTTAGAAACAAAATATTTGTAATAATATTACTCTTTCTTCCGTTAATCTGCTTTTCTCATCCCTTTTTCAGCGAATTGCCAAACAAGTTTTCCATTTTATATGGAATTGTCAAATTAGTTTACGATATTCTACTCTATACCGTACCTAAGAGAAAGCATGTAGAAAACCTACACCATCCTATAGAGATTCATGTAACAACTTTTTAATAAGTGATATTATAAGGCAAGGGGTCGAGAAAGCGGTCCAATGCGAACATTTTCTATACTGTTCGTCCTTGGACCAAGTTACGTCAGCGTTGCAAATTTTATAAACATATCTCAAAAATTCCGATCTCGCAAAGAGCACGTAAATCGGGGATTCAACAGAAGGTTATTACGAACTGATCTACTAAAAGAAAGCGGATGCCTATCTTTACTAAAATGTAGAAAATAACTTGACATATGGTCATACCGCTTTAAGGAGAATACATATCTAACTGGACGATTATATAATAATATTAAAGATTAATTTTTAAAGATTTATTATATTTAGTTATTAAAATTTTTAATCGTCGCAAAACCAATATTAAAATAGATCATTTCTTAAAATAATTATCATATGAAAAAATTAGAAAGTTAAATATTTAATTGAGTTGGGAAACTTGACGCCATCTCCTTGTTCATTTTGCGATTATTCTAGTAACAAATTTGAGCTAAATAATCAGTTTGTTGATTTCATTTGCGTTTTGTACACCATTCCTATATTTACGATAAGCGGCTAGGAAATATGCACGCTGGCAACAATGATTTTATAAGCGAAGGAAAGGCATAAGACATACAAAGAAAGTAAACGAATTTTATTTTGTTGAAGGCATATACACATTTCGTACGTGAATTATTTGACTTTTGCTGGAAAATTTATTAGAAAATCAATTGGAAAACTTTCGGAAAGCCTTAACATAGAGTGCAATGCAAGAAGGTGATATTGAAAATCTCATTGAACCCGAAGGAATTGTGCGCGAGCCAACCGCCGCGCCAACAGAAGAAACAGACGCTGTAATGTCAACGACATTACTAACAGATGAGACAACTAATACCGCAGCAGTAATGCAAGCGATAAATCCAACTGAAGCTTCCTTATCAGGACCTGTGGTTAATATAGATGAAACGGCTGGCAGCACAGGAGCCGATAAAGATGCTGACAGCGATGTACAGGATGATGAAGGCGACGATGAGGTTGTTCATTGTGTTCTTCTAGTATGTGTGTGTGTAAATCTCTTTAAAAACTTATTTCGTTTTAAAAGCAGACTAAAGAAAATTATGAAGGTTTTAACGGTACCGGGCGCACCGTTACGTTACAGATGCTAATGGGTGCTAACGTTTTGCAGCCCGGAAAATCACTTATGACTATTGAATACTTGGGACAAAAATTTGTGGGAGATTTATTACCGGATGGTAAAATTAAATCGCAAGAGACTGAAACCATATTTCTAACACCCAGTGCATGGGCTATGCACTGCAAACGTATTATTAATCCAGAGAAGAAAAGTGGCTGCGGTTGGGCTTCGGTAAAGTATAAAGGGAAAAAATTGGATGCCTATAAAAACAGTTGGTTACGCAAATGCGCTTTACAAAAAGATTTAGCCCTCGAAGATATAGACATTGGTAAATGCATAGTATCGAAAGTAATTAAATTTACTTACAAATGTTATTTTAGATACTGACAAAAAATCCGACTCGCCGTTGCCTCTGATTAAACGTATAGTGTTTCCGCACAATACCATAACAAATCGTAATGTGATGCAGTAAGTATAGTATCTATCACAGATAGTTATTACATTTTAGCACCAACATTGATGTGAATTTAACTCTTACTTACAGTGATGCTAACATGTTAATTGAAGCGGTATCTTTTACAACTGTAGGCAAATTGCAGCCGTTTCTTTTAACGATGAGTTCTTCAGCTTTGCTTTTAGCTGATTTTCATTGCCATTTAACCATGCATGAGGTTTGTGGATATCTGGGAGGGACTTGGGACGTTAATACTCACAGTAAGCTTCAATTTATGTTCTATTAAACGAATTTTTTTTTTTTAAATTTCTTTCTTTTTGTTAATTTTAGCATTGGCTATAACGAAAGCATATCCCTGCCGTAATTCACGTTTTGATCGATCGAAGGCGGGTGATATTGAACGCGATATACAAAAAACCATGATAAAGGACCAACTTCTACTGGTAGGGTGGTATCATTCTCACCCGAAATTTCAAGCCGAACCCACACTAAGGGATTGTGATGCCCAATTAGATTATCAGATACGTATGAGAGGACCTTCTGACGCCACATATACACCTTGTGTGGCTTTAATTATCTGTAAGTTAGGTTTGATCGTTTAGATTTGCTGTATTCAGTGCAAACCAATTTTTATAGCTCCTTATTATGATGAAAATCCTACCTTGGAATCGGTGGTGAAATCTATTTGGGTTGTGCCACCCAATGAAAATAAGCAAGCTCTAGAATATGGTCGTCCCATGCTTATGCAGTATTCTGTTTTACCAGACAGAGAAATACCTGAAGAAGTTCGCACTGAAATCCAGTCATGTGTCGATTATTATTCGCAATATCGAAATGAAATTGTGCGGTTTTCTAGCATTTTTAGTGACGATGTTACCTATATTGAGAAACTCAAAAATACATTATATCCGAAGTTTCCCATGAAACAAAATGACAAGGCACTGTGGAATTGGATTTGTGCTGTTTTGGGTTGCGAACAAGAGGATGATTTTATACCTCCGAAAACGATAAAAATAATTGACTCAAAAGACGATATTCCAAAACCACTGATTGAAACAAAAATAGAAATTAAATCAGACGATGAGGTTAAGCTCGACGAGCTCAATTCTAAGCAATTAACTTCAAATGAAGAGCAGATGCGTTGTTTGGAAGAACATGAAAAAAGTGAGCAACAAAAGGCGAGCGAGTTAAAGGTTTTATCTTTGCAAGAGCAATTGTGTTTACCATCGGGGTTAAATATGAATCCTGTGCACGTGTTGTCACCTTTAATACCAAATCCAAATCCAACGGTACCTACAACATCAGTACCCGTTGCTGTGCCAGGTGTATCCCCCAACGTTGTTGCCGCGGTAACAGGTGCGTCTACTATAAATCCTGTTGCCCTACTGCCTCCGCTCCCGCCCACAGTACCACCGATCGTTCCCAGTTCTACAAATTTGCCTTCTGCGTCCCCACGTGATAGTCCTATTACTATTCCTTCGAATTCGGCCTCACCAGCTAAATTTGAGCTACCAGTAAGAGCTTCCCCGTCGCCGGCCAAGTCGGACACATCGTCACATAATTCAAGGACCCGAAATTCTCCTGCTCCTAGCCCTGGTAAATTCAGTATAAGCGATATAGCACGCAATAGCCCGAGCATAACGCCGACTAGCAAGTATGAGCCAGTCTCTGGATCGTTAATGGGATCATCCGTTTCTGCTGCCTCTGCCGCTCATGGTTTGCCTACCGCTAACGATTTGATGGCTGCAAGTTTGGCACAGTTGGCTGGTCAGTTGCCACCAAACTTTCTACAAACCGATTTGGCTGCCTTATTTCAGCAGCGTAAAGATTATGGCAGCACTTCTCTTAATCAATTAGCTGCCGCCGCCGCTAAGGTGGGCGGAGGAAGCGGTGCAGGTACCGGTAACAGTCAAAAACAATCGCAGAATACTGTATCATCTACTGCATCAAGCAGCTTGGCAGGTATATCAGTTCCGTCTGGAACACCCGATTTTACAGATCCTAACGTGGCTGCCGCTGTGGCAGCCTATTCACAAAGCTTTAGTATGCCGCGCCTTCAAGATATGATGCCTCAACCGCAACCTTCCAGTTCGTCGCAGAGCAAATCCAAATCAGACCGATCCTCAAAATCTAGTTCATCCTCTTCGTCATCTTCATCATCGAGCTCTTCGTCCAATTCTTACAAAACCAAGCTCATGAAAGAACTAGACGAACTCAAGAATGACCCTTTGAAAATGAGCGAACTTATCCGCTCTCCGGAGTATGCGGCACTTTTATTGCAACAAGCTGAAGCTTTGGGAGCTACTACATTAGGTAGTTTAGGTTTTGGCACTGATTTTAGTTATCTAACGGGAGCGAGTGCTCTGGGTCCTTCGCCCAGTCCCAGTAGCAAGTCAAAAAGCACTTCGTCAGCAGCTGCTGCTGCTGCTAATGCAGCAGCGGCCTCGGCAGCAGCTCTTACGGCCGATTACAATAACCTAATTCAAGCCTCTAAACTGCTGGGTTATGATTCGTATTTGCAACAGGCAAAGAACAACGATTTGAACGCGTTCCTCCAGCAGCAAATGGCAGCGGCTGCGGCGGCTGCCGCTTCTGTGGGTGCACCTCCAACTCCCTCTCCTAGTAGCTCCAAAAAGCAACAACAACAGCAACAACAACAGTCACAACAATCTGGTTCACATCCAGATTACACTGCTCTTTTGCAAACTTATTCCAAGTTGTTTGACCCCACAAATCAGTTTGGATCATTAACTCAAAGCAAGTCGTCAGCAGGTCATCCCGATTTATCTGCCCTCCTGGCAGCCGGTGTGGGAGCGGTAAGTGGCATGGGGCCCGGTAATAGTTCTATGAGCAGCTCTAATGCGAAGCAAAAGCACAAGGAGGCACAACAGCAGCTGAGTCAGCAGACAGATATGCTCAATCAGTTATTGCAATCAGAGAAACAACAATCCGACTTAAATGCTTTGCTTTATCATCAAAATAAAGCGGCGGCCGACTTAAATGCTCTTTTTGCGACACCATCAGGGGCGCCTCCTTCATCAGCTACGTCTTCTTCCAGCAAATCCGGCGGTGGTTCCGGTCCTAATTCAACTGGTGCTCCTTCTCCTCTAACCGATTCAGCAGCCGCTTACTACAATGCCTTGGCTCAAGAGAAAATTCAAGACTACGCTGCTTTTTTCCAACAGCAGCAACAACAAGCTGGTAAATATGGTATACCAGATCCCTTATCCAAGTCAACATTGGCAGCTAACAATCTTTTCATGTCACCATCGGCATTACTCAAAATCCAACAAGAATCTTTATCAGCCATGATGATGAAACCGCCTAAGTCGACATCATCATCACGTAATCGAGAATCATCAGCATCGCCTGCTTTAGAACGTCTTACCCCAACTAAAAGTGGCAGTGGAGGTTCTTCAACACCGGGTGGCGGTAAATATAATTTTAGTGCTGTTGATTTGGCTATTTCCAGTGTGCCATCTAATACCCCATCACCGGCTCCTTCTGATGGTAGTAACAGCTCTTCCCATCGTCGACCTTCCAATACTCCCCCAGTTGATTTAAGTCGCTTATATGGAGAATTAGCTCCGCCTGGTTCATTAGCGGCCTTAAGTGGAATTGGAGCTAGCTTAGGTGGCGTTGGTACTAAAAAACGTATGGAGTTCTCATCAATTGCTGATTTAGCCGCTCCACCACCGGCAAAGATGTCCAAACTGGGCGATGATGTCTTGAATTTATCGAATGAATAAAGTTATTCTGAGTATTTTTTACGCTAGGAACAAGGGAAGAGAGAAAAAAATTTCTATTAATAGTTACATTACATTTTTGTCTCCCTTTACTTCCCCACTAATTTTGAATAGAAAAGAACGAACGTTATGCTCCTGACACACTTCAAGAACTTTTATATAGGGATCTGCTAGACATTCGTGAAAAGTTTCAAACCGATGCTTGAAATTGTGCAGCGTAATCCATCTTCTGGAGCAATTGTTTATCACCAATACTTTTCTGTAAAACACGTGCCATGAACTCCCTCTTCGAGCAGGCGTTGTATAAGTAACGTCATTTTCAATCATCTCTTAACTATCAATACAACAAGCATTTTAATAAGTGAAACTTTCTATGAAAATGTGCGCTCTGTATAAAATGCATTTCAAAAAATCGCCTGTTATTTGGTAGAAACACATTTGTTGACCCTTTACCCATAAATGCAGCCTTTAATAAGAAAACTGTTAATCGTTCGTACCATATGCAATATTTAGCCATAGAGATCCAAGGTTCGACTCATTTCTCAAAAGTTTCGCAAATTCATCCCTATACGTCTAACTAGAAAATGCGTATTCTTTAATGGTCTAACGTGAAGTGTTTTTGGATAATCACGAGCAAAAATGATGCGAAGGCTTTGCTGTTTACATACTAATTATGTATTGACTTGTATACGTGGACCGATCGCGATCAAGTATTAATATATAGTTTTTCACTCTTTATACCCACCACTGTAAGGTGGAGATATATGCATTTTGTATTTTTCCATAAGTAACATCCAAAAGAAAGCTTCAGGCACCCTTTAAAGTATATACATTCTTGATCAGCATGACATTCTAAATTGATTTGTCTGTCCGTTTGTGAGTCTAGGGGGTGTTTGTTAAGGATATTCCCCTGGTCGTAATCGACCTCAAATTTCATAGAAAGGTTGAAAGTTTTTGCACGCAGGTTGGTTTTGAAATTGGGCCAAATTGGTCAGAGCGGAAGCCCGCATTGGAGCATAATAAACTGAACGCAACTCTGTTTTTCTTAACAAAAATTTGTTGGTTTTTGCTCGTTACTCAGAAATGATAGAAGTTAAAAGACTGAAGTATTCTATATTTACTTTGCGAAACACTTTACTCTTTACAAATGGAAAAAATCGACCATGCCCACACAAAGTATCAAGTGATTAAATTTTAATTTTTTCATTTTTGTACTTATTTATCATAACGCAATCAAGGCAGAATGTTAACAATTATTTTGTACATTCCTCAAATGAAGATATATTCCTAATCTGCCTAAAAATGGGTTAATTCTAAAATGAATACCTCAGACAGAGTGATTAATTCTTTCTTCATAGTACCAGCGATATGGGTATCAAATAAAAGAACTTGGAGAGTAGAATGCAAAAAGCATAGTGGTGGGTATGCGAAACTCGGCCCCGGCCGAATATAATTTTTTTTCTTTTTTTTTCGTAATTTTCCTTTTTTTTAAATGAATTTTCTACCAAAGCGTACAAGAGCTTGCTATTGCAATATTTCAATTAGGTAAGACAAACAGGTTTTTGTTCGAATAACAATATGAATCAAAGTTTTCGATATTTTTCCAACTATATCGGATTCATTAACATAGCTCTGCCAGGTAGATGCTTTAATGCTTTATCGAAATTTGAAAAAAATGCATTTAAATGCTTTTTTTGATTCATTCAATTAACTAATGCCGTCTACTGTAATTAGCTGAATAGTTTTTCAGATTACATAAAATTATAATTTCTATGGAATATTTTTCTTTATGTGTAAGTGTGAAAATATTCTCAAATTTCCTTAACCCTACTTAGCGGATATTTTAATAGTTTTTGAATATCTTATAATGTCTTATGCAAGTGTAACATTTATTGACACGTATGATTAAATTTCTATTCATGGTTCAATTGAAAGAGTTTCTCTCTTCCCCTAGACTTCACAATTTAATTTTAAGAATAAACTGAATAGTATTTACTTGAAAATTTCTTTTCAAAAAGTAACTAAAACTATGCATAAAAATACGAATAAAACTCGAATAAGTTTTTAAGTGTAAGAATTTTCATTTTAACTAAAAATTGTTCATCTGTTTAATTATTTAAGTAAAAAAAAAAAATAGATGTATATATACATATATATATATATATATATATATGTATATTTTAATGAAAACAAATAGAATACGAAAACAGAAAGCTTGATTATGTATGTATGAGTGCGTATAGTAGTTTTTTACTTTACTCTTTATTTTCTAAATCATCAGAATAAAAAGGAGCAATAAACTCAAAGTGTACGCTATAAATAAAAACAATAACGAAATGCAAAAAACAAAGAGAAAAAAGAATTATTTTTAATTTTTTTCCAAAGTCAAAAAGAATTAAGCAAGCGTTCTACAAGAAGATTGATGCATTAAATTAAATAAAATAGGACAAAAGAATGTTAAAGATCTACTGGCCCTTTATCGAACTGTCCTACGATACGAAAGACAAAAATCACATTGCATTTTGGCTTGATGTTAGCTATCGTATCGTGTTGCATTTGTTGTTCGTTGTAGCTACAATTGAAAATTTATGTGTGTGTATAATGAAATACCACTATCCACTAGTGCCATCAACTTGTGACGAACCTTCGCTGCCTTCGAGAATTCCAATTCAAAATTCAAGGTCGATATCGAGACCCGTAAATCGACCCCAGGACTATGCATTTCCCGCCTTGTCAGGTATACAAGCTCTTAGTGAATTCTAAGAGCTTTTGTTGTATACCTTACTTGGTTACTTTGAATGCTCGCAACACTTTTTCGTACACGTAGGGTTGAAAGGTGAAGAACAAAGCAAGTTGTACATTACATATTCTTAATCGAGACTTGGTCTTATATTTGTGTACAAATTAACAGCAAAACATAGATCATTGTATAAACTATGTACACTTTTACTATTCGTACTATGGAATTTTCGATTCAATTTATTCGATTTTCTTGAATTTTATTAATCCAAAGGTGAAGCCTACTGTTCTAAATAAAAAATTTCCAAATTTTTAGGGTATAGCTTAAAAGAAAAGCGAACGTCTTACTTGGGCATGAAGCTATGACGAATTTTGAACTTAACTTGAGCTTATTGGTAAGAAGAATAAGTTCTTTTTAGGATTTCAAAAAATATTATTATTCGCTTATTTCTCCGTCCATCCAAAAAAAATTGTTAAGGAAGCTTTTTTTAGGCTGTTACCTAGGTCTACCTCTTGAAATGTAGTTCTCACGTCAGGCAATCGTTTTTATTCACACTGATCTTATGCAATTTATTCAGTCTACGATGCATATTCCATGAATATTGCTTGCGATATGTATATATATCTATGATAGCATGACGATTATAGGGTATCATGACGATTGTTGAACTTGTGAAGATGCTCTTAAGAAATGTAATAAACTGCTTGCTGTTGATTTGAGATCATCTTAGTGGACTGCAATCAGTTGTTTCTATAGATTTGGCGAAAAGTTGCAAGAGAACAGATGGATTGGCCGTATGAAGATCGGCCGTATGAAGATCGGCTAAAAATCTTAACTTGACATTAAGAAAGAACAGACATTTTATGAATTTTCCAACGCTTAGTTTTGGATGTTCAAATCCTAATCATCAAATTATTCTATTATATATATATATATATATATATATGTAAATATATTTCTTAATAAATTGTACATATGAACAATATTTCAGTGCATACCCTACTCAATTTCTTGTTCTTCTTTCTATTTATATCATAGCTTTCTATTTATATCTTACCTTACAATGGTAACGAAATTTATATGAAGTGTTTTTTCCATGATGGGCTCTATTTACGTTTGCTTTTCCCATGACTTTATACCCTAAAGTTAACTATGGTTTCTTTTAGCATTTGCATGTGTTAAAATCCACTAGTTTTTGTAGGTGGTTGAAACACCTACGTATATTCTAACAATGTATGTAAATTATTAAAATTATTGTAAAAAGCATTTCTTGGCCCTTAAAACTATAAGCGCTTTAGCATTAATGCCTCCAGTTGAACCTTGTTTGCAAACATGCTTTAGAAGAAAGTCGGTGTACTTTTATTTTTTTCTTTTATTTGTGACCAATCACTGAGGGTATGTCCCCTGTTCGTGTGATACGGTTACGGTAAGAAAGCAGTGAGAAAAGAGAAAGGGATAGGGAAGTGGTTGCAGTCTAGTGGGTGTGTGCACAATCTGAGAACTCGATATAACTACGACCAAGGCAAACGTTGACATTGGAACCTTCGAACACGTAGTCAGCTGCTCACAAAAATTATGGTGTATGAGAGGCAAAGGTATTATTGGCCAATAAACGCAAACTTTTGTCGAATTTTAATCAGAATTCCTTAAGGCCCATCCTGCTAGGTAGCAAAGCATAGACAAGGTGCGTTCAAAAAACATGCTGACTGTTTTTCTTTCTCGAAAAATATTTATTTATTCATCAATATCTATTTGATCCCTTTCAAAGTAATCTCGCTTAGATACAATACAGTTGCGCGTGCGTGTTTTCTAATCTTCGAAACATTTCTGATATGAACTTTTTGGTACGACCTTGAGCTCTTCCAGCGATGCGGTCTTTGTCTGCTTAATCGTGACAAAACTTCATCTTGTCATGGGTTTATTTAGTTTTGGAAACAGCAAAAAGTCCCAAGAAGCCAAGTCTGGTGAATACGGTGGCATGATTATGGTTATAGTTTGGCTAAAAAATTACGAACAAGCAATAAGGGTTGAGCTAACGTATTATCCATGACGTCTCGTGCCCAAAAGAACCGTAGAAACGGCATGGCATGAACCAATCGATCCTCAACAACTTCTCTGGTAGTGATCCGACGATTCTGCACAACAATTTTCTTCACTGCTTCAGCTTTTTGATCGATTGTTGGCGTGCTAGGATATCATCATTTATATCTTCTGAGTCATCTCTGAAGAGCCTGTAAACCTTATAAATATTTTTTTTTCAACTCGCCAAATGCCATTGTCATAAGCATAAAATCCTAAAAACAGTGAAAAAAAAAAAATAAAATTTAATCACTGGTTACTTTATGTGGGCATGGTCGATTTTTTCCGTTTTTGCATGCAAAGAGTAAAGTCTTTCGGTAAGTAAATATAGAAAACTTCAGTCTTTTAACTTCTATAATTTCTTAGTAATGAGCAAAAACCCACAAATTTTTGTTACAAAAAACAGAGTTGTGTCCAGTTTATGCTCCACTGCGCGCTTCTGCTCTGACCAATTTGGCCTGTTTTCAACATCAACCTGCATGCAAAGACTTGCAATATTTTTACCAAATTTGAAATCGATAGCTAGTCGATTGCGACCAAGAGAATGTTTACGACAGACACTACGCGGAAGGACCGACGGACATGCTTAAATCGATTCAGAATTTGACGCTGGATAACAATACGTATACTTTGTGGGGTGAAAAAAAAAAAAAAAAACAAAATGACTTTACCCCCGTCTTACAGTATATAAGTATATAGGTATACTTGAAAAAATTGAAAAATCAGATGTACGTAGCTCACGAAATGTGAAAAGTCACCTTTTCTTTTTTTTTTTGAACACACCTCGTACATAGGCGGTTTTTTGTAATATTTTAGATCAATTACTTATCAATATCTGCATTCGTTCGTTTCTCTACCACTAGCAGTTTACGATGCGAGCCTGCGATGGTAATGAATATTAAAAAATTGTTACACGATACGTTGTCTGGATTACTATGCTTATTGCACGGTAATCGAATTACTTGAAACATATAAACAAACCACTTTTAAAATGCTGTGTCAAGATGATTCGCTTAAATAATGTGTAAGAGAGAAGAGTAACAGGTGCTGGATTATTGTTATTGTTACTGTTGTTAACTGCTTTTGTATGTTTGTTATTTTTATTTGTATTTTCATTTTTATATATTTATTAAATTCTCTTTTGTTTTTTTTTTTGTATCAAAACTTACTGTTGTTGTTTTTGTTCAGATTTGTTTGGTTTCTTTAGTTTTATTTATACGAAATGTTCTTATAAGAAATATCTTTTCATTTGCCGGCATCATCATCATCATATCTTCACGCTGTGTTGCACATGGCAAAGCAAAAATGCATAGATATATGCATATACAATTGTACATACATGCACACACATACACACACAAACAAATGTATTTATATTCAAAAACATATAAACCAGTATTAAATGATTTTTATTATTAATTTACATACAAACCTGTATTAAATGGTTTCAGTTATTAATTTACATCTCTTTTTGCTTTTTGTTGTTGTTGTTATTGTTTTCTTATGCAAATGAAATTTATCTATACATTCTTGTTACTTCACTTTCCTCCAATTCTAGTTCGACTAGTTTTTCGCTTAAGATAAGAAAGAGTAGGTGTTTGTGGGTTTGCGGGCATATGTGCGCTTAAGTAAATACTGATATATAAAGAGCATCGCACTAGTCGCTTCGAGGTTTTCTCTTGAACTTGCCTTCTTGTCGTTAACACACACAGGCCGTAGCATTAATATTTTAATTTTAACGTTGGCTTGTTTGCCTGTGCATTGAAGTGAAAAGTGATATAAAAACAACAACAAATAAAAAGATAAAGATATGAGTGATTATAAGGTACGAGTTACGTGTTTTTAATAGTGGAATTGAGTCCTTTTATGTTTAAAAAAAAAAAAAAAAAAAAGAGGAAAACATAGCAAGAGTTCAATGACTGCTCTGGTGTCAATTGACATTAAAATCCATTCGATATTAATGAGAGCAACAAGCTAATCATATCAGCAGTTTTAAATTTCATTTACAAAAACAAAAAAAAAAAAACAGAAAAACAAAACAAAAAAAAATTTGTGATAAAAAATACAAAACAAGGATAAGCAGGTTATGGATGCATTTTTTTTTTCTTTTTTAATTTAGTAAATATAACAATCAATCATCGCAGTTGTTTTTGCTACCAAAATTTTTATTATAATAATAAACAATTTTAAAATGCAGGCGACCATGCCAAAGTGATTTCTGTCACTTTAGATGAACTTTTACTCTCAGACATGGACATAAGATATATTTTTATTGTGACAATTTATATACCCACTATGGAGCAAGGGTACATCCAGTTTGTGCGCAGGAGGACTTGTTTTATTATACTAAATCGGTTTTAGTTTATCTGTCCGATCATCCGTCCGCCAAACTTGGTTTCTTGTGTTCACACTACAGCCCGCAATTTTTGAGATATTTTGATGAAATTGTTTATACGAATGCTAATGAAAATATTTCGGATTGAACGACTTTTTGCAAAACTTTTCATACAATACCTTGCCTTGAAAATTCGTGATATGAATAACTACTATACCAAACAAACGGGTGTAGGGTATTTAGCAAAGCTTTCCAAGAAGTTGATTATGCGTTTCATGCAAATATTTGCAGCAAATAATACGATTCGTTTCATTTTTTTATTTAACGCGCAGAAAGCACGAGCATTTTTAAAGCCATTAATTCAGATATTATATGGAAAGCAGACAGCATTTCTAGGCGGTTTTAGTACACATTTTCCAAACGAAAAGCAAGTAAAAATATGTAGCGGGATGTGATCCATCTTACACATAATGACTAATCAAAATAACATGTTGCATGGAAAAAGTGATGCAAGCGAAAAAGTGGTTCAATTCCCAACATTTTCAATAACATTCGTCCTTGGGATAAAACATGTCGGTTTAGACAAAGTTTATCAAAATATCTGAAAAATTGCGATCGGTAGGTTGAGTAAAAGAAAACAAGACAAGAAGACAGACAGATGGACAGACAAGCTTAGATCGATACAGAAAAAGATTATGAATTGTGGCCGTCTTTTAAACCCTTTCGGGTGTTGCATATATTCGCAAGAGCTTAATATATCCTTATGCCACAAGTGGTGTAGGGTATTATTATTATTTTTAGTTAAGACTGAAGTTGACATTGATTTTAAAAAGTTGAAAGAGTGTTTGAATCTATTTACAATGAATTTAAAGAGTTATTTAAAAACTATGAAAAATATAAAGACCGTTCGTATTCTTTTCATACATGTTTTTGCAATTCCTGCTAAGGACTTATCAGATTTAACATTCAATCAGTACAAAATCGACAAAATCGATCAGGACAAAATGGATTATTTTATAAATTAATTAGAAGATGAAAAATTTGAAAAGCACATGAAAGAAGACGAACTGACGGAAAAACGGATAGATAGACCGAAGGATAGACAGACCGATGGATAGACAGACAAGCGGATAGACAGACCGATGGATAGACAGATCAGCTGATAGAAAGAGGGACAAGCTCAGACCGATTTAGGAAATGATTCTGAATCGAACGACGTAATGAAAGGTGCGTCCATTTTAAACCCTTCTGACGCACACCCATAAAAACTTCGTAAGTTCTGTACGGCATAAAATGTCAAAAAGGAAACGCACAAAAAATAACAAAATTTCAAAACTTTACGTGAAAGATTTCTCATGGAAATCCAAAAACCCAGTTTTTTTGCTTCCTCAAGCAGGAATGTTCTCAGTTCATGTTGCAGACGTATCCGTCGAGCGATTTGATCCATTTTCAATAATAGAAGAACTTCAAGTTTGTACCCGCATCGCAAAGGGAATATTTACTAAGGATATTGCACGAACGCACCTGCTTAGATATTGTATTTTTGATCCACGTTGAAGAGCAATTGCAATTTTCCAAGGTCAAATTAATAATCCTTTCCTTGCTTAACAGGCCGACGATGCCATTGAGCGCTCCCTTGTATAATATTACATAGGTTTTATGGTTTCAATACGTCAGTATACACCATCCTGTGCTTGCTTTAGTATACGTTAGGGATTTTCTTTCTGAACGTGATTTTGATCAGTAAGCCATCATTCAGAGAATAAATTTCATATCTGCGATATTTTGCATTGGACTCGAGTTTCGATAAAAGTTAATAGGTTATCCAATAGATCGTTCCGTACCTGTTCCCTTCGGCTCCGTATATGTCCCAAAACGGTTGAACATCGTTAAGCTATTACATCGTGGATGGTGTGGATGCATGCAGCAAACAAAAGCACTTGAGATAGATCCACTTTTTATTATACCGATCGATTCAGAATCACTTTTTGAAGCTTGACTGTCCGTTTGTCGGCCCATCTGTCGTGCTTGTTTGTGTTTTGCAGGATTTTGATAATTTTTGCGAATTTTGTAGACTGACATGTTTTGGCCCAAGGGCAACCGTTGTTGCAAATGGTTCAGATCGGACGACTTTCTCAACCACTTCTCATATAACGCCTTATTTTGAAAAACTGTTACCTAAATAATTATGTGATGTCGTGAAATATTTAATGGTAGTCCATGCTCCGCTATAGAGTTCTTAATCAATTTTACTTTGCTCGGTGTGCACCCGCTTTGTATTTACAAATATCTTGGAAAAATGGGGTAAGCACAGATGTTCATGAAAACCGTCATTGAACTTCAGTTTTTCCTGCACATTTTCCTTATTATGGGCCGAAATGTTACGTAGATTAGGCCATCTAGAGAAGATAGAAAACGAGAGTAACGCACACACGATTTGCAAAAACCGTCAGACTGCAGTTGAAATCTAAATGCAATTTAGAAATATTTACCGTTCGAATATGATTGAAAGCTTGTAACAACTTAACGTTTTTGGCAGCAAAATATCCCTCTTAAGAGGATTGCGATTTTTTTCTTCTTAAATTTTGTTACCTTTTCATTGTCTAAGTATCGATTGATTTTAATTCACACTCGCGTAAAAATGTCTGCACAACATTTTTGAAAAATTTTTAAACCGTTCAATCAATTTAAAATATATATATATATAGTTAGTTGTAATACAAAGTAAATCAGGCGCGTGTCGCATACATGTTCTATATTGAAAGCAAATACAATTTATTTGTTATTTACAATAAGTTGTAGGATATTGTCATAAACTTTCGCACACAGATACCGATATGTACATAAAATTTACATATTAATTCAAATATGAATAACAAGTTGCTAAGCTTAGTTATCGAACTTTAAAAAATTAATTTTAAAGTTTTTCTTAATTCATTTTATTTGAATTTCATAGTATATGAGCGGTTTTGGATCGCATTTTTCTTCGGAAGATCCCCGATACCCAAACGCTTTACCTAAAGCTCAGAATACTCCGCAAAAATGCCCATACGGCTTGTACGCTGAGCAATTGTCTGGCACTGCTTTTACAGCACCGCGTAAAGAAAATGTACGCACTTGGTTTTACAGGGTTCATCCGAGTGCTAAACATTTACCGTTCCAACCATATATGTTTAATCGTTACTTAACTCATGATTGGGACGAACAGATCCCTAACCCGAATCAGGTGAGAGCGATTTTCAGCACTCTACATCCAAAGAGTTAATAATTATTATTAATTATATCTGTTGTTCAATAAGATGCGCTGGAAGCCGTTCGATATTCCTACGGGTGAGAAAAAGAATTTCGTTAAGGGTTTACACACAATCTGTGGTGCGGGTGACATACGCTGCCGCCACGGACTGGCTATACATGTTTATCTTTGCAATGAATCGATGGAAAATGCTGCTTTTTATAACAGTGATGGCGACTTTTTAATAGGTGAGCAATAGGTGACATGCACTCGCACTATAGCAAGAGTCTTAACCACTTTTCAAAAACTCTTTTATTGCTTTTCTTTTTCTCACACAAAAAAGTGCCACAACAAGGAGTGTTGGATATCACAACTGAGTTTGGCAAAATTAAGGTGTCGCCTAATGAGATATGTGTTATACCACAAGGAGTTCGGTTTGCGGTGAACGTGTCAGGTCCTACCAGGTGAAAATTATAATGTTTAACTTGGAAATGCCCATAGATTATATTAATTGAATTTTCAGGGGCTACATATTGGAAGTCTATGACAATCACTTCCAATTGCCTGACTTAGGACCGATCGGCGCTAATGGTTTAGCCAATCCTAGAGATTTTGAAACTCCGGTCGCTTGGTTTGAAGATCGCAATGTAAATGGTTTCGAAATGATATCCAAATATCAAGGTCGCTTGTTTGTGGCCAAACAAAATCATTCACCATTCGATGTTGTCGCTTGGCATGGAAATTATGTACCCTATAAATATAATTTATCTAAATTTATGGTCATCAATTCGGTGAGCTATGATCATTGCGATCCTAGCATATTCACCGTATTGACTTGTCCTAGTTTACGCTATGGTACGGCCATAGCCGATTTTGTAATATTTCCTCCAAGATGGTCGGTCCAAGAACATACATTTAGACCGCCATACTATCATCGTAAGTTAATAAAATTTCTTCAGAAAAATTGTAGTTTACAGAATATAACCTACAGGCAATTGTATGAGTGAATTTATGGGTTTGATTTTGGGTAAATATGAAGCCAAAGAAGATGGCTTTATGCCTGGTGGAGCCACCTTGCATTCAATGATGACACCACACGGTCCCGATTATACTTGCTTTGAAACGGCTTCAAAGGCTAAATTGGCTCCAGAACGCGTAGCCGAGGGTACTCAGGTAAGCTGTGAATAAATTTGCTTTAGTAACATAAATTGTCTGGGGAAAGATACTACACCTCATCTCCCTATAATAGTATCAATAACCTTAGATTAGAGGTAACCATATGTGCAAATACAGGGTATGTCAAGTTTGTGCGAACGTATGCATCATCTAGAAGGGCTGAAGATAGACTCACCTTTTATTATATCGATCGATTCAGAATCATTTTCAAAATCGAATTTAGCTTGTCTCTCCGCTTCTTTATCTGATGCTTGTCAATATATTTTTTATGTTCAACTTACAAATCAAAATTTTTGGAATATATTGATCAAATTTGGAACACTGACTTGCTTTGATTCAAGGATAAATGCTATTGAAAATGATTCGAATCGGTTCACTTTTTCGTCTATTTCCTGTGTAATGATTTTCTAAAAAAAGTTTCCATTATCAAAATTTCTCAACAAAAGTCGTGCAGTAATAGTACTCCGATATTCTAAATTGGTGTGAAAGCCGTTCTTGCCGTAAACGAAACGTTGTAAGGTAAAAAGCTCTAATTTTCAATATTTGATGCTGAAAATTGGTTCATAAAAGTAAATTGACATACAAATCAATCTTAACGAATTTGTACCACGTAGATCTGTTTTTGGATAGCGCCGCAAAAAAGTGTTCTCATGAAATGTAACCCTTTAGATACCAATACATATTAGACTTCGCACAATTGGTAAGCCCTTCACAAAAAGGTTTAAATATTTATATTTCACGACAACTTGTTGTGTAACAAGTTAAAGGTAAGGAATTTGGATCACACATTCCGTCGAAATTTTAGACTCTGATGTATATGGAGATCGTTATGAAAAGCAAGCCATTGTACGAAGAGAAAGTTTAATTTACAGTTTTCTATGACGGAATCTAAAAAATAATACATTTTTTGTGAAATAAATTACGTTTGCTGTATCGAGATCATAAGGTGTGATATTTTGAGCTTTCTCCAATATGCCGGCTTGCATAAAAAGTAAGGGCTTTGCGTGAAAGAAATGTGTAATTATTGGTGGATTATTAACAAAACGAATAGCTGTGCTAGGCGAAGCAACTTAGGGTGTCTAATGGTCGGTCTTGCCTGACTGCAATGTTACTACTTCTTTTTGAATTAAATCTGATCAAAGAATAATACTAAGCTAAGAATTGAACTAGTTTGTAAGAAGTTCTGCAAGAAGTTCTGTAAGAAGTTTTCCTACTGACGTGTTTGGACTTTGTATACTATATAGGAAGAGTAAAATTACTAAAAACAAACATTGCCCAAAAATTCGTTTGTCTGATTAACAACACACGAGTAACATAATGGTTGAACCGTCAGTCTCTCATCTTTCTGCATTATACCATAATTTTATAAATTATTGCGTTATCTTGACTAATGTATTAAAGTAAATCGTACAATATTTTTATAACATTTTATTTTTTTAATTCTATGAAGGACGTCCATTATGTTTCATATAAAATATTAAATTGAATGTGTACGAATTCTATTTGTTTGTCTCCAAGAAAAAACCAAATTGAAATAAAAGATTAAATGCTTTCGCAGAGAAATTGCTTGCTGTAGATATACTCTGCCATATTGCATAAAATCTTCTAGAAGACATAGATAAAATAGATTATGCACTTCGCTATTATTTAATATCTTGAGCACACATGTCGAAATAATGCATAAATTTTCAAAATAGCTACGGTAAGGTTTTGTTTTGCAAAACGTTGAACGTTTTAGGTGAAGTTCTCTACGAATCCTAGTTTTAATATAATTTCACATTATTCTTTCAAATTATTTGAAGAGACGGCTATTATAGCAATATCGATTGAACTTACGAATGAATTCCTGAATCGATTTCACCTAACACATTATGCTTATTATACCTCACACAACTTGTGATATACGGTATAATAGGTGTGTGTGAATGTGTGTACTTTATTATGCAGATCAATTCAGAATTACATATATATATTATATTATAACGATCGATTCAGAAGCGATTGAACATGTTTGTCCGTCTAAACACAGGAGAACCGGCCATGTATTCCCACGGTGTAGTTCCACGTCGCAAATTTTCGATGTGTTCTAATGAAACATAGTACACTTAAGTCTTTCGGCTAAGAATAAATGCTGTTGACAATGACTTGGATCGGAATATTTTTATTTCATATAAACGTTCCGCTTATAATGCCTTGGCTTGAAAAAGTCGTTAGATGAAGTACAAAAATATAATAAAATAAAATATCTCAACAAACATCATTGAGTATTATTACATCTGCATATCAATTGAAAAATTTGAATCGGATGGTTTGATATCGAGCATCCTTTCCTGTGCTTGTTCCTAGAAAAGATAAACTTTTACATAGCTAAACCGATCTTATTTTTACCATTTGACAATCAGAAGTGGCAGCGAACAGTAACTCTACATAAATATCAACGTTACGAAAATAGGATCAAGCAGATCTATTTTTTATGCCCCAAACTGTGTGTGGACGCTGATGAGAAGTATATCTTTACATGAGAAATAGATTTATTTTTTAATATTCCATGTTTGAAAGTAAGCGCTCTCTGTGTGGACTATATAGGTGTACCCGTCAGGCCACATTCCTTGTAAAAGTACTCGTAAGAAATAAATCTAGGTAAGGCAAAGTGTAATTTTTAGTACCTCAGCGAATTGTTAGCCTTTGACAAAAAGACTACTTTTGCTAAACTTAGACCGCGTCCGTTTTTCATTTCGGATCCTCTGCGGTACGAAGGCTTTAAGAAAAAGTGCCTTTGGTGTACAAGCTACAAATGTCGGTAATTTACGCCGAAGGAAAATGAAGAATTTCGGCAACCTAATGGTGCAAAGTGTGCAATGGTCGCCCCTGGCGACTATAATGTTCTCTGACTCATTATTGTTAGATGATATTTTTGTTTTACTCTTAATTCTTATTGTAAATATATCTAAGCACTCATATATGACGATTATATGCATATAGTATTTGTAGTCATGTGCAAATAAATCGACTTATGTCGATGTTTGATTTTATTCTCATATTAATAAAAATCCTTTTACTTACTTCCTCTTTGCAGGCTTTTATGTTCGAATCATCTCTTAGCATGGCCGTGACACAATGGGGAGAGAAAACTTGCCAAAAATTAGATGAAAAATACTATGAATGCTGGCAAGCTTTAAAGAACAATTTTAAATTAACAAATTGAACGAATACGATGATCGGATTAGTTTGGAGATTATATATTTTAACTGAGAGCAGTTATATAATTTTTTGTCTAAATTTTATCTTCTATTTTATACGCATTCTATTATCGAAAGCATATACACAAGATATGTTATGGAGTATTTTTTGCATAATCTTTGCTTTTGTTTATTTCTTATATACGCACAATTATGTTATTGCTCACTAAATAAAATCATTGTTTATTGAATTTTTTCCTTTACCTTCTTTTGTACGAGGGATGGGCAAAAGATTAAAAGCGTATTAAAAGAATTTATTCAAAAAGAGTAGTAGTGCAGATGAACGTTCTACTTTTTAATTAATGAATGCTTTATATAAGGTTAGCGAATGTATTTTCCATTTCATTATTGAAGCGGAAATGGGGAAATAAAACCCCACATATTGTTATTATATTCACCATAACTTCCATGCTAAGTCCAATATTTCCAAGGAACAGAAATATCTATTGAAGACATTTTTTGATCGTTGAGATTTGCACACTTACGTTATTAAAACACTGTCTGGAGCAGGAAGCTTATATCTTAAGGCGCCGACAACATTTTAAAATTACTTACCACAAGATCGAGACTGTTTGTCATATGAAGAAGAATTCAATACAAAACAAATACAGAGAAAACAACGTTTATTTTTAAGCGAAATTCGATGGCTATTTACCCCACTTCACGCAGACGTCTCTAATATGAATCCCTGGATGCAGCTATTGGTTTCTCATTTTCAGAAACAAATTTACTTGACTAAGTCAACGAAGTTTTCTACTTATCCTATATAGAAAAAATTGTTATGATGAATTAATTACCCAAATAATGTTTAAATGCTAAATAGAAAGGTTTAAAAATAATTATATGATTCTTTTCCCTTTCCATGTCACGTCACACCATAGAAGTGAAGATGCAAGCAAGTTATATGCCGGTGTTGGACATACATCAAATTGCTGACCGCAGAACCTGATCTGAGTGTGTTGTTTGACTTTGCACATCTTATGGTTTTACTTTCTGCTTGTTTTGCATGTCTTCGAAAAGCTGTTTCGTTAAATTATATTAACATTTTTGTCTTAAAATTGTTTCAGTGATTGCTTCTCTGTACAGCACCGACAAGTTTCTCCATTTAGATGAACTATATTGGAGAAGGTTTGTAAAGCTCTTTGCAAAAGTTCTGTTACAACCAGTATTTTTTTGCTGCCTGAGATGTTATTTATGCATCAGTTACACGTTTCTTTTCGCTTTTCCCTTTCATAATGTTTCACTTTGTCCTTGAAACTGGCAATCTTCTAACAAATGAGCACATTTTCATTTCTTCTCAACTGTTGCCACTAGCCTATATCCCAAGTATTCTCGGCCAGGTATTTGCAACCAAGCAAGGTAGTCGCCCGAGTAAATCTGACAAAAAGCAAAAGGAAAATTTGACTTTCAGTCTCAATCTAAAGTGTTAATCTACTTTCAACAGTTGTTCCGATGTTCAAATAAAATAAACAGGTGGTGGATAAATAAAAGACTTGTGCCAAGTCAAAGAAAATCCCTTGCCTGATTAGAAATGTCTTTATTTCTTCAATTGGTGCTTCAAATCCATTAGCAATCATTTAGAAACTGAATTTTGTGTTTACTAGAATATCCTTTTGTGTGATAAACTGGATACAGGAATAGTTAACCATTCGAAAAATTATCGATCATGTAGGTGGAAGATGAAAACAATATGCAATGAAGAAATTATGACAATGACTGCCACGTTCGGTAGTTAATTTTAGTTTAGTTAGCTTTAGCACTTATCTGCCTTATCGACAAAGAAAAAACACTCGTTCTCTCGAGTTCAAGTTCTTCAGAAAACACTTAACTACTTATTTACAAAGGATAGTATAAACTTAAATTACGGCCAGCGCAATAGAATGGAAATTTTGATAACAAATTTTAATAGTCTGCGAATATGCACGTTATGCTTATCGTTCCTTTATGGAAGCTTTCAAAAGTATGAAGAAAAAAGAAATTCCACGATATAATCGCAAAAAAGCGCAAAGAGAAATGGAGCGCATCTCTGAAAAGACCTAAGTTAACCTAAGTAGGTGCATATATTGCTTTTTACGAAAGTGTTTTCTGCATTTCCAATGCATTTCGGAGAAGTGCTTGTACAATATTTCAGATTTATTTTGCTCTTCCTTATGAACACACACGAATTCGTTATCATTTTCATTTCTCAGTTGTTTCATCCGCTTATCCGACGAATAAGTGGGCGAACACCACGCAAGGCTAAACTGATTGGCAATCTCTGGGAATCCAGAATTAAATCCAGCTTTCATTGCCTACTTTTAGGCAGCGTTGATTAAATTGCCAAGTTGCCAAGCTCTCCCTATCTCATCAACTAAAGTTGGCTCCATAAAAAGAAAATTTCGATAACAAATCTTAATAGTGGGCGTGTATGCTTGTTGCATTTATGGAAGCTTTCAACAGTTAAAAAGACAGAAATTCCACGATATAATCGCAAAAAAGCGCAAAGGGAAATGGAGCGCATCTCTGAAAAGACCTAAGTTAACCTAAGTAGGTGAACATATTGCTCTTTACGAAAGTGTTTTCTGCATTTCAAATGCATTTTGGAGAAGTGCTTGTGCAATATTTCAGATTTATTTTGCTCTTTCTTATGAATGTAAATGTCTAATACACTAAACTAGTAGTATCATCTTTACTCGTTAACTGAAGTAAGCTAATAAGGTATCGACAAACCTTGTGGCCGAACTGGTTCGCAATCTCTGAGGATTCATTAAAATAAATTCAGCTTTCCTTGTCTGCTTTAAGGCATTATAAATGAAATAATAGTCTTACCCAACCTCTCTCAATCCAAGTATAAAAGCGAATAGTTCGCTCCGAACCATTGATATTAAAAACATGAAAAATTTCGTTATAAAACATTTAAAATTGTAAAAATTTATTACATATTTTTATTTATTTTTTTTTTTTTATAACATATAAATATAGGATATATATTTAACAATTTAATTGTTGCCTGTTAACCATCAATTTAACAAATTTTTTGATGCAATGGAGGGAACTTTGCTTGAAGTAAAATGTAAACTAGGGTAGAACATTTAAGCATACATACAACATGTAAGAATGCGAATATAAAAATGTTCACACGGATATAAATATACAAACTTAAATGAGTAAGAAAGATAAAATTTATAAACTGTCTTGTCGGGCGAGTCTAATGACATTCAAGTAATGTAACCCTGAGAGGTTAACTGGAGCTCAATCTTAATTTGCTTAAAATTATTGAAAGTGTATCTAAGTAACAGATGTCCGATAAGCATCCTATCTACGAACTATTTAAAATTCATCTGCATTCGTTTGCAGGTAATTTTGAGAACAAGGTTAACAAAGTTAAATAAAAGTATTTTTCATTCGCATTTGCAAGTTTGCAATGAAACGAATGAATGAATGAATGAATGAATGACCCGCCTTTTTAGACTTCTTTATATGTGGATATAAGGATGAAAATAATTTGAATACCATTTTTGTTAATGGATATAAAAAAAAAAGAAGCTTTAAACCTAAATTTTAAAGTCTAAAAGTTATAACGGGTGCTGAACGTGGTCCTCGTTGTGGTCCGTATATGCCGCCGCTGCTACCTTTTAGGCGACATACACATAAATAGTTGGTGTTACCAACGCTATCGACACCTTTACTATTCCTTTGATGAGATAAGCTGGCATTAGTGGTAATATTAGTTACATTATCATCAACTGAACGCCGATTATATAGACATTTCGTTTCGCAATTACAATAATTACTTTTCATGTAACATAAACGTTGTTGCAATTGTTGACTGCTTCCATTGAAACTGTTCCTGCCTACTTGTCGCAGCACATGCTTATTGTACATAAATGTAGATGAAACATGTCTAGGCTCTATACCCGTGGCGGTAGTACAATTTTCACTGTCTCTGCTGTTACTTATTAAATCCGGTGTTGCGTCATTATACACAACTGGGTATTCATTCTGTTCAGTCTGACTTATCAACCAGTAGGTACGCATATCACCTTTACCCTGTGCAGGATGAAAAGAAATGATGAAGAATATGATGGCATTACTATTTGTAGATTTTCTCGATGCGATTTTTGCTATGATTCTATGAAACTGTTTATTTTCTAAAGGTTCATTGCCCATGCATTTACCAGTATATGGCTCGCAACAGTTGTTGGTTTGCAAAAGATATTATTATGGAGTATTAAGAAAGTCAATGAAGAAAACAAGGAAATGATTTATAGTCATATCGTGAGTAATTTTAATATTATCTTACACTTCCTCGAAAAGTAGAACATTTCCTTGGGATTAGGAAAAATAAACTTTTTTCCAATGCATACATTTGGTTCGTAGTTATGTGGAGCTTACGTTGCCTATTGCTATACCTTGAAAGCTAAATAAGTTGTTATTGCATAGTTGTGTGCATTGCAGATGCAAGTTTATGTTGCATATTTATGTGCGCTGCAAATGCAATGACAAATTGAATAACGTGTAAATACACTTAGTTTGACGGTGAACGGGATTATATGGGAATTTTCAATATTGTTCCCAAGGTTTTGGAAGCGAGAATTCGTATTTAGAGCAATCAACTAAAATTCAGAATTCTCGATAAGAGCAATTTGAACAGAGTGTGGGAATATATGCGTGGTGGACAAATGAAGAGTTAAAAGTGAGAAATAGTAAACTTTTACTTTTCGAGTTTTTATAGGCAACAATGTTTAAGCTCAAAGCCAACAAAGTGAAGAGACGAATTATAAAGTAACGCTATATCTAAAAATTAAGACTTAAGTAAGAGTCTCTAGATTTGATTTTACGCATATTTTATAAAGGATGTAAGTAGCAATAATTTTTTGTTTATATTGAATAAGAAAAAAAATAAATTCAAAATGTAAACCATATTTTTGGACAGATGAAATAATGAGATATAAGTAAACTACAATTTCAAGCTGAGCCCTAAAGCTTTCTATGTCATTTAACATACCTTAATATTGATTAGGCCACGTTCAGTGCATTGATAACCACCAAAACTTTCCAGTAAATGATATGTTTGCTCTGATACATGAATTTTCATAGCCTGACCAGAGCTTTCCATGCGCGCCGCTGTGTTAACGGTATCGCCGAACAGACAATAACGTGGCATCTAATGACACATCAAGAAAATTGACAGTTAATTTATTTTAAAAGACCTCTGTTACCTTTAAGCCAACAACTCCCGCCGCACAAGGTCCCGAATGTAAGCCGATACGTAATTGTAACGTTTCTGTTGGCTTGTGACGTATTTTTAGATTAGTAACACTTTGTAATAAGTGTAACGCCAAGGAAGCAATTTCACCCACATGACGTTTTCCATTACGTAATGGCAAGCCAGATACAACCATATATGCATCACCGATTGTTTCAACCTGAAATATTGAAACAAGACCGGACATGTTTAGCAAAATGTTAATACATTTTCTCATCATTTTTATTTAGAATGATATTTTCTACCTTATATACGTCATAGTTGGATATTATGGAATCGCAACACGTATACAAATCATTTAACATCTCAACAACCTCAAATGGTGTACTAGTGCTGCATAATTCTGTAAAACTCACAATATCACTGAATAATATGGTCACAGAATCAAAGCATTCAGCCTCTACCGGCTCACCACGTTTCAATGATTCGGCCACAGTCCTAAAAGGCATACACATATTGTCAATGGTTTTTGTTAGCGGTTTTATGATGCTTAATAAATGTCACATCAAATATTTTGTGAACAGAAAAAAAAAAAAAAAAAGGAAAAAGCACATTACCTTGGCAACATTTGATTGAGCAGCATATCAGTTTTTTTCTTTTCCTCATACAATTGATGTGTGCGTTCTTGCACTAAACCTTCCAGATTATAAGCATACTTTTCCATAATCGAAAGCATATTATCGAAAATATTGGGCTTCCTGTAAAATTAAAGACATTGAAAATGTTAAGTAAATGTTTTAATTTAAGAAAAAAAAAAATTGAATTTTAAAGGTTAGAAAAAAACAGGATACATACGACCGACCATCCCTTGCACCCCTTTGCCTAATGCATTTGCTCATATAATGATGGAAAGTGGCGAGAAAAGTGGGTCAAAGCGTTTCGAAAAAATGTCCGGTCTTTAGGTTGAATATAACAATATGCGAACAGACATGTGGATAGACGGACAGACAAGATTTAATCGACACGGAATAGCTTTCAGAATCGCCGAATCATTTTCTGATACGATTTAACCTCGTCTGTCCGTCTGTCCGTCTACCCGTATATTGTTCGTGTGTGTGTTCAACCGATTGAGAAAGCGTTTTTGAATCGACAGGTGTGATAAAAGATGAAAGGACTTGAGATAGTCTCCACCTTCTGGGTGTTGCTACCATCCGCACAAACTTAATGCATCCTCTGTCAAAGGTTGTGTTGGATATAATAATTAAACTCTCAAGGGCTTAAAGGCACATATACGCAAAATACACATTTTTTTTTTGTTAATTGTTAGGTTGCTACGTTTGAATGATGGCGATGATAAATAATTAATATCATATTTGTAAATAACTCTCATCAGAGTATTGTTGCAATTATGATCAATTCAAACTCTTGAGCGTAAAAAAAGCAACCAATAATTAATCATCAGCCAGTTATGGTTGTATTTACCCATCAAATATTATGCTTTAATCAATTGCAATTTATAACAAGAAATATGATATGATGCCGCAAAGAGATGAACACTTGAGCGCGGTGTATGTTACAGTCACAGGTATTTGACGTCGGTTGACGACTTTTGTACACCAATACTTTCACGAGTAGTACGCTCCCTTAGGGAGTTTAAAATAATTACACGCAAACGTACATTAAAGCAAATGGTTTCAGTCAACTACAAGGAATAGTGTCAGTAAGATGAAACCTGTAAATTTATGTGTATATGATACAAATAAAACAGACAAAATGCTGAGCTTAGATTTTCCTTTAGTTTGTTTCCTTTCTTCGTATCGCAAATTGCAAGAGTTATGATCAGAAGCTTGTGATGATTATTCAAAGGTTTAAAAGCTTCTTTACAATTGGAAATCTTTCGCACTTAAAGCAAATTGTTCGAGCAAAGTGTTAGAAAAGCAAATAAATACACTGTAGGGAACGATGGACTCACTCAGTCCTTGAGCCAAGACACGTCAACGTACCAAATGTCATCAAAACATCTCAAAACTTGCGCACTCTGAATTGAACACAAGGATGGATAGATAGACGCCCTATATCGATCATTATAATAAACGATAAGCCTGTCCCCAGCCCATCTGGATGTTGCATTCACCCGCATAAACTTGACAATTTTCGTGTTCCACAATTAAGATGGGGTATAATGACGAACGTTTTGACTTAGAAAGTGTAGTGCGCATAATGAAGGGAGCAAAATAAAAGTGACCATCTGAAAATGTTGCGAATAATTCAGCCACGTGACGGATTCAATTAATTTCTTGTTTATTATCTAAACTGAGAAACAACTGCCAAACTAAACCGACAGTGTTCGAAACAAAATTTTTCATAGCTGCATGAAAATGCCAATGTTAGAGCTTTTACTTGACTTGGCGCCTTAGAGTTGTATTCATTGATTCAGAATTAACCGATCTGTGATATATAATGCTTATTATAAGATAAGCGTCTCATTGAGTTGCCCTCGAAATAAACGATTCTCTTGCTTGTTTTTCCTCATGTTGTATTCTTGCACGCATTCAACTCTTCAACAAGTCATCTTTTTAACTCGTATACAAAGCAGACACCTCTCTTATATAAAAGATCCGAATTTTCGTAAAAAAATCGGTAGATATTTGCATTATAAAAAACGCCGACGTATTCTACTCACTTCTTACTGAACGGAAGGATTGTGTATGCAACACGATTCTAATTCCTTTACAGATTCCTTAAGTTTCTCTTATTGACACGATGCCCTTTCAATGCCGTCAACTATAGATGCACGTTAATTTTAATAAAAAATTTTGAACGGAGGCATTATTGACTTTATGTTGGGATTGAAATATTAAACAAATCAAAACAAATGTCATAGCGCAACCTCAAAAGAAACTAAAAGGGTTTATAAAGATGGCTTCTACTTATTATCGAAAGTTATCGATTTATAATGTCTGCCTATTGCATTCAATGCTCCCGAAATTTAAGGTATATGTACCATTGACTTTGTTGCTTGTTCGCAGTGAGTTGAAGATGTTAACACTCTATGAAAGTGTAAAGATTATATTATTCGGTTTCATTGAGGGAGAAAATGTTGCGGCAAATACTCAAATGATTAAATTGGCTTGTGGTGAAAACGTATTAAATGAAGTAATAGATAGAAAATGGTTTGCGAGATTCTGTATAAAAAATTGTAGTCTTGAAAACGATGAAACGGCGAACGTCTCCAGCAAAATTAGTCCAGGAAATGATCTTCAACTTGGATCCGGTTCAGTTCAATGCAGATATGTTGAAGAAAATTTGCGTAAAGGATGGAAACATGCTTGCTATGATCTTTTGCCATTTATCGCATAGGTTATGGATGTTCTAGCGGTGGAAATTTCTGGGATCCGAGGTGAGTGATAGTCATCAACCCATTATTTATAATATAATATGTAATACAAATGTTTGCACATTTATATAATATACAGAGTCTCTGCAAGGAGATGATGGTTGTATTTAAAAATTTTGAGTTTCTTTAAAATTTTTACGAAAGAAGTTAATTTTTTAAGCAAGATATATATATGAATATATATGTGTATGCATATAAATACGTACAAAATTTATATAAAGTTGACTATATATATATATTAAAAGCTATCCTTAAGTTATTCATTTTCTCCTTATACATCAGGATTTGTTAAGTTTGTGCAGGTTTATGTAGCAACCGAAACGAGTTCAGATTAACTATATTTATTGTTATCTTCATCGTTTTCTGACTCGATTTAAATATGCCACTATGTCGATCCGTCCAATGTCTGTCTAGGTTCTTTGTGTCCAATGAACAGGTAGCAATTTTCAAAATACTTTGGCCTGAAAAGTAATCCTGTTGAAAATAAGTCGAAGCGGATCATTTTTGCTACCACTGTTAAGATGTCATTTTTAGTATATTTAGGACAAATATATGTGAAGAGTATCAAATTCCTTGAGAAAAGAAAATCATGCGCACTTATTTTTCATATTAGGAAAGAAAAAATCGTAATTTTTTTTAAAAGTCTTATTACACGCTACACAAGTTGTGGTGCAAAGGTATAATAAGTTCGTGCGGGTGTATGAAGCACACAGAAAGACTTAACAGAGATCCACCTTTCATTATACCGATCACTTTCCGCGTCGAGCTTGTCTGTCTCTCTATACACCCTTTTTTTGTTTCAACGCAATTTTTGAGATACTTTGATGGAAATTGGTACTAGGGAACCGTATTGACCGTCGTTCGGATTGGCCCACTTTTCCGACCACTTGCCCTGTAATGCTTTTTTTATGAAAAGTCGTTATACGACGGTAGAGTATTTAGTGGTGCGCCACGTTGTGTTCTAGTGTTTTCACTTCTCTCTCTTTTTCATCTTCTCGAATTGAGGCAGGCGAAGTGATATAAGATACGAGTATAATGTTTTAACTTTTTTCTTGTTTACTTACAAGCCAGCCTGCAATTCTTTTAACTTCATGCGTACTAAACGTATATCAGGTCGTATTTCAGGATCCTCTTCCCAACATGAACGTAAACACTGATGCATATAGAGTGGTATGTCCAATTGTAAAAGCGAAGGCCGCAGTGTGCCATGATGATAACGAGCAGGTTGCTTAACAAAATTTAAAATTTCTGCATAAGAATACATAAAAAGAAAATGCATCGAAAAGGCGGTTAAGTAATTGTCTCATTTTGCATACGCTTTATATACCTTGCGGTGTGTAATTAGTCTCACCCCATGGTCCTTTACGACCAACAATCTCATACAAAACTATACCGAATGAATAAACATCGCCTTTTTGAGTGCCGCGAGGTTGATGATTGGGATCTCTTAATAATTCCGGAGCTTTCCATAAGGAGCGTTTTATTTCTAAGTCTTTTCTACGTAAGGATGAAGAAAGTCTTATATATACCGATACCAAAATCGGATATACAAAAAACTTGTTATAAAAATTTAAACGTAAATAAAATCTGTAAAAGTTAATAATAAATTTTCGCATGCTTTAACACTTACACATACAGTTATGATTTTTAAACTTTTTATATACAAAAAACATTAAAAAAAACATTTATTGTCATTAATTCAATCAAATACACATAATTTTTTTTTTTGTAAATTTTGTTTAACTTTAATTTCGCGCTTACTTATGTGGTTCTTCTTGACCGGCTTTAAATTCATGTAAACCGAAGTCCGTTATCTGACATACCCAACGTGAATCGATAAGACAGTTACTCGAGCGTAGATTACCGTGAGATATAATGTCTGAATCATGCAAATATATCATACCCTTCAATATGTCACTGACCAGCGACGATATAAACATGTGATCTAAATGTAAATCGTCATTGCCTAAAACATCTTCTAAGCTACCGCGAGCACAATATGTGGTAAAAATCATTACCGTGCCATGGTCAATAGAAACGCCTATAAAATTGATGATATTCTCGTGCCGTACCTGGAATGAGAAGAAAGAAAATGCGTAAATGCGCTTTATACGGCCATTCCGTATTATGCTATAATATCATGAATTGATTTAATCTTGTGCCTATACTTGCTACTAATGATCTCAAACGTACACTTTGCAGTTTTGATTGATTGGAAGGCGTTTCAGTTAGTTGATGAAAATACTGAAAAATATTACTGGAATCGTTACGTAATAAATAAAAGAGAGACACATTTACGCATCATTTAGTAATTTCTGGAAGGATTAAAAATCGTTCCTCATTTTGAACCCATATATATGTCTTTATGTCGGTTGGAGCGTACTGGGTTAATTTAGTTCCAACTAAGAGATAAGTAAGATGGCATTATTCGAACATGGCAAATGATGGGATTTGAAGACTTATCAGCCGAAATAAATAATTTTCTAAGGCTGGGATATGGCCACGCCAAACGTTAGAAAAATTTATTCCAGTGAGTTTCCATTTTAGGATAATTTTTCTTCTTGTGTACGCAGACGACACAAGCAGGTCAGCATCAATACGATTATTATCATAGTCAAGTAATTCAGTGCGAACTCGATATTATTGCCTGATTCTTGCCGACATGACCTGACCTGGTGTAAGACGTATGTAAGCAGTATATTTCTCAATAAAACATCCGAGTCAATATGAACGAAGCAAAGTTAAGTTAAGAATACTAAGGTGTACTGTAAATCGGCGATAATTGTAAAATTAAAGTGAACGATATGTCAAGGATACCAAGTCGAGTCAAAGTTAACTTAGCAAAGGTAAACGCAATGAGGATACAACGGAGTCAAAGCAAACGAGTCTATCTTAATACTATACTTCAGTAACACATTTAAACACTTTTTTTTAACATACTACAATTGTAAGACAACTCCGATGCGTTGTTTCATCAATGGTCAAGTTGGTTTTCAGGCAAAAAGTCAATATGCCTGGCAAACAGGTTCCACACAATAACCAATTTCTTGTGTCGGAGATTCAATCGCCGTATGCGTGTGGCGGCGAGCAACGCGTGGGCACACAATATAGGAAGAAAAAATACAATTCACATTTACGCTTATTGGCAGAAAACGAGTATACGATCACTTTTCAGGTCTTCTTTACCTTATAGATAAGGATATGAAGTTTACGTATACACCTATGTGCGGAAACTGTTTGTAATATTCCGAAATAAATGTCTAAGTCTTTAAATTGTTTAATCCAAGTGTATCTGATCCTGTGGTTTTTTCACAGAACTTGAGAAAAAAAGTTAAAACAAAGCAGATAACATATCAATCAATATACAAAGAGACAACTGTTTCAGCAAAAAAATCCCTTACACTTTTCGTAGCTTCCGACTCTCAAACGACGGTTATTCATGCCGTTTCAATCATTTTTCACGAGTTACGGCGGTTTTAGTGAGCTACTTTTCTCAGTTGCAAAACAAGAGAAATATTCGAACTTCGTGCCGTCCAATAGAGATTGATACTCAAAACACTTAAAAAAAATTAATTTAACGATTATTGTTTATTTGCTAAAAACCATGAACGGTTCGGGCTCACCTCAAAGCGGCAACAAATGTGGTACTTGTTTGATTGGATTAATTCATAAATCAGTAATATATACAAAAATTTTCCTCTATTGACAGCCTCTTGTACTAGCAGATTACTCTCGAATGAAAAGGTTTGTCGAGTACCTCGACCTTATACCCTATTCCTTATTTAAATTTCCTAAATAACAATCACAATATGAATTCATAGACTAATAAAATATACAAATAGTGGTAATGCGTTTATAGTAATAAGTATAAGTAAGTAATACGTATAGTATGGATAGTAAAGTAAACAAAGTAACACAATGGCAGTAAACCTTTTATATGATGATATAATAAAATGCAGCAGCTTAGAAGAACACACAATAATGTTATAATAAATTCATAAAGTGCTTAGCTTCGGACTTCTTTCTAGATTAGCTTATTTGCAGTCACATTAATAGTTCATATACTCGTCAAATATAAATAATAAAAACAGAATGCATTTACACAAGCATTTAATACAAGTAAATATTTAATGTAACATTGAAACATTTGCATAATCAAAATATATATGAGAATCCCCAGGGGGTTGCGCAATAAGGCCAGAATAAGCCAACAGGTACAGCGCTGCTCAGTTAGGATAAACTGATGCTACAGCCTCCCCTGTCTGTTTGTCACTTTCCTCACATTTTTCCGGCCGTCATCAAATCACGCGATTACGGGACATTCGCTGAATGATTGGTTATATCAAAAATCATGTTATGCCAGCACTCTTTCCATAAAAATTTAAGTATTCATATTCTGCTAATCTCTTTTAAACCAGAAGCTAAATTATTTTATTTTATATTCGCAACTTCAATGCTTTATTTTGCATAGCTAGGAAAGTCTTTAAACTACTGCTGTGTTTTGGTATTAACAATTGACATATCACCAATTGACATTCTGCATTTAATTTGTTTTTAGTTTGTATAAAATTCCAATTTGTGGAGCTCTTCTCTTTTTCAACTCTTTCACGTGCAAATTTGAGGTTAGGTTGCTTTGTAAAGTAATAAAATAATTCGATATTGTGGTAATCTAATGGGCACAGGTAATGTGATATCTGGAAACTCTTGTCGAACATTAAAATCTAACTCGCTTAGCAGGAATGTGGATATAATTTTCCCATCAATAAGTTTAATTATTAACATAACTCTAAGCAATTTCATCCCCTTTAAGCAAAAGATGATAAACCAAATAAATGTACCCTATACGAGCAAAGTCTTACGTAGGAAAACAATCCTAGGCTACATAAGATAAATAATATAAAATTCAAGCATTCCTAAGTAGCAATCATATAACTGGGAAACTGAACAACATAACCCAAGCTTGGCCTTGCCAACGGCATGAACAACACCTTAAATATATTCCTTTCATGTTGTATGTTCACAATTCTAAGATTGGAATTCGAGATAATGCAATCGCATTAGATAAACGTAAAACTTTGAATTCGCTTAAGAAGTCGCGCGCAAATAATTGCATAGAAGGCAATGCTTTAATTTCTTTTTCTTCTATGAAAAAAAATTTGTTCCTACATTGCGAAGTTTTAAAGGTTTTATTAAATCCATTCAAAAAAGAAAAACCCTCTTACCTCACGCATTTGCTTCAATTCTTTGCGTATGGACCGTGTGACATCCACAGTTTTTTTGTAAACCCTTTTCATGGCCACTATATTGCCTCGATGCAGTCCTGTAAAGATTAGATTGCATTTGGGAAAATATTTTCTAACATTATATCTATCCGTTGCGCTAACCTATGGTTGTAAAAGCTTTTTTACTAGTCTCTCCACCCGTTAAAATACTTTGACGATATATCTGATACTTTATGGCATAAAGAGAATCAAGTAAGAAAATTATATTCGGCTACGACCGAATCTTTTATACCCATCAGCGTTATTTTAAAAAATAAACCCAAAAAAAAAAAAGAAAAAAGAAAAGCCAAATATCCGTAGTCTATAATATTAGGTGGGCGGGGCTGATTTTTTTATTTTTTATTTAAAAAAAAAGTGGAAATTTATATCGTCTAAAGCGGACATCTCTGTTTTTGCAACCACCACAGAAATTAACATAAAGATGGACAGACGGATTGACAAACGTGCATGGAATGATTCACATTTGATACTGATCGATAATAAGCAGACTATGGGTCTCTGAGCCTTCTTTCTGGATGCTGCAAACATTTGGACAATGTGATAATATTGAGAGGCCCGCCCGATTTTTCTCATTTTTGTGCAGAATTTGCAACACTGCCCAGAGAATTTGAATGCAAATTTTTGCCATTGCGTCTGTAGCGACCTATAAGAAAGTAACGAGCACTAAACCAAATACTTTTTATTTTTGAACGTAGAAGCGGTTTCAGGTTATGTTATACTATGGGGATATTCTTTGACCGTTTTAGACAAATGTGCATGCAAGAGCTTCTGTCAAATTTGAAGCTGATAGCTTCTTCTTTACGGGCAGGAAAATTACACAGAAAGACACACAGCCAGATAGTTAGGCGGTCGGGCGTACTTAAATTTGGTGCTTGACGGGGTCTGTGAGGTTTCGCTCTTCGTCTCGTAAACACTTCGACAAAGTGAATAAGTTTTTCATCAGCCGATGATAGGTATAAAAGTCATAAATATGTTTTTTATTACTGTTTGAAAGCAACAAAAAAAAAAAAAAAATCCATATGAAAAGTAAAACTTACGATATTTTTATATTTTAAATTGTTATAGTCTAAATTATTGTCAATATTGATAATGGTCACGTCTTTCATATCGATTTTCCATAACAAGCCAGCCAGAGTTTGTTCGTAACGATAATGCCTTCACATTAAAAGAAAAGAAAGTGAAAGAGAAAGCAAAGAATTTAAAGAATAAGTAATAAATGTTTGCGCTTTTTTTTTTTTTTTTTTAATATTAACTACAGTCCTATTAGGAGGGTGAGTGAGTGCATTGTGTAAAGCAGAAAGACAATACTTAATGTGTGTATACATGGAAAGAGAGCTAAAGAAAAAACTATTTTTCACTACTTAATAAGAAAAACAGCAGCAACAATAAGGAAAAATCCAAAAAATGAACCCGAAGTCAAATAACGCCAATCTAATTTACGCATACGACAGAGTTCACCATGAAATCCGCATAATGGCTCAGCTAGTGGGGGCCGTCCTTTCAGCCATTGTATATGACGATTGGCTTTAATGTATCGGAATTCCTTTAAAGAATGTAAACAGAAAGCAAAGAAATTATTTTTAAAAAACTTTTATAGAAGTAAACGAACAATAAATTTAAAATTCTCAAAAAAACAATTTAAAAAATTCTACTATAGTTTTAAAATATTTGATTTATTAAACATAAGCCTTTGACATAGACAACGGACTAACAGAGACGAATTTTAGATCGATCTTTCAGCTCCAACTCTAAGAAATATTTCTAACGGTTTATCTCGAAAGGCTTAATTATCTCTTTATTGAAGAGTTGATTGGTTGTCAAGTCGAATCCGGTCCACCACCATCATCTATATGGATTCGATTTTTGCAAGTTTTAGCAGAAGTTTGCAAGGCACAGAAAACAGAAATCCCATCAAACTGGTTAACCTGATCTCAGTATCAAATCGTCTGTAAACGAACATTCTTCGCCCTCTATCTTTTCTCTTGTTCCCGCTATCCGTTCTAATCAAGCCCACAGCTACATATGGATTACACATAACAAAAAAAAAAAAAAAGTCATTTGCATATTTTGGATTTGGAAGATAACCTAAGCTAAGTAAGTCCACATCTTTGTTGAGAATATACTGTAAGCAGCCCAAATAAAAACAATCTGCGCCTAAAAGTATGCTAATATGAACAATTTATTATTTTAATTGCCGATTAAGGGGACCTATGGAAGCACACATTGCACACCATTACTGTGCCTCTTTTCCTTTATAAATATGATTCTTGAAAGGCATTAAGTTATGTATAATAACAATATGTAAATACCTTTACCCCCAAAATTAAAGTACAACTTCTTGAAAACATAAACTTCATAACAAATTTTTTTACTTACCGGTATAGTGGATAATTTATTGTAAACAAAATAGCCGACAGGTTGCATAGACATTCTAACCAATGAACTAACTATGTTTACATTATTACCATCATTTTGCAATGTTATGACTGTATAGTTTCCCTCCGCATCGCCGTTACCATCTATATGTACCTAAGTAAACATATGCATGCACTTCCAAAGCTTACTTAAGATAAACATATTTATGTATGGGAAGAAATTTTCTTACATCGAAACCTTGTATAGAATGATAAGAGTGATTAAAGATACGACTCATAACTAAGCGGCCATCGTATATATCTGCACCTATTTGCAGTAAATCGGTAATTGCTTTAGCATAAATCATAACACTATCATATAAATGTAATCCGTAAATCGGTACCTACAAGTCAAAACGGGAAAATCAATCAAGTCACAAATGTAAAATGTAAGTATCCTATGATTACCGAAATATTATCGAAAACACGTTGATGATAGGGTACCAGGAAAGGATATTTACGAGCGTATTCTTTAATTTTACTGCACAATTCTCTGAGTAGCAATTAATATGGAATAAAACTGACGTTTATATAGAAGTTTGCAGGTGTATTAGATTTACTTACCGTATATGTGGATTTAATGGATACGTCATGCTTATCTTAATTACCGAACGAAATGAATTCTTATCCAATGATTTCCTTTTCTCTTTACGTATGTAAGGATCTAAATAATCTGTTCAATTACATGGAAAAATCACAATATATTATTTTTAATGTTAAACATTGTTTATTATAAATGTTGAGCACACATAAAAACATACTCCGTTCCATTATATTGACACGTCGTTTAGAATCATAGATTTCATCATCAACCGAAATGATAATATAGTCACCATTTTGCAGGAGTTGACGATTTTGCATGCATCGTACAAAATCAACCATGGCAATGTGTTCACCAATAAATACGTAAACTGTAAATGTGAGAAATGGAGGAAAGTTTCCATGATATTGAAGATATTTGAATAACTAGAATAACAGTACGTTATTAGTACACACGTCTCCACAAATGCTCTCACACCCACACAACCACACACACCCTGGTCTAAGCAAAAAGAATTATTGCTAAGCATTCTGTTATTTATAGTTTAACTGATAACAGAAGAATGAATGTAATGGCTTTTCCATATCTATTGCAAAAGTGTTTATTTGTGTGTTTACAACTCCATGTGCGTCTTTTATTGCATTCGATTTCTTTGAATATTTTTCCATACACATTCGAAAAGTAATTTCAAATAATTGACATACGCTATGTATTAAAGTCTTGTAATACCCTTCCAAATAACACTCATACGCACCGATTTCTTAATAATTAAAATACTTTTAAAGAATGTTTACATTTCATTTTTACACGCGCTTTGGTTTCAGTTGCAACATCCACTAGAAATATTCAGAAGCCCAAAGGATATATATATATATGTATATATTTGATCATTTGAGTGTCTGTGTTGAGTGTCTGCCATAAGCCGTTTTCCAGTTCCAAGTTCAATCGATTGCTTTCAAATTTTGTAAAAGCATTTAAGGTTTTTCGATGTCGTTTGATATTGGAAATAGGCCAAATCGGCCGAAGTACACGCCTAGCATGAAACATACACCGAAAGAAGCCCCTGTTTAGCACGTACAACCCCACTACATACAATGATAAATATTTAACTATATATTCTAAAGGTGGTCGTATGGTGCCCGTAGAAAACAGGAAAAAATCAACTGCGCCCACACGATATTATAAAGTATTGAAATTCCTTTCTTATCATTTTTTTAAAATTTTTTTGTAAACAGTGTACTGGGTGTAAAAGTTTCGACATTAGCGGAAGATAATTGTATTATTTGTGCAGAATCAAAGGAATTTAATGCTCTTGGCTTTTTGTAATACTTTACATTACATTAAGTTGGCGAGAAAGTATTTTCAACTGTGTTTGCTGCAAGGGCTACAGCGAATGTTAGGAGTTTTTCTTTCTGCCTTTGGACATCAGTCCCATTTTGTTTATAACCTTGCTTATAACTGTTAGCTTAAACATGGAAGAATGTATGTTTTCATCTTTTTCTTTTCTCTTTACTTACAAGAAAAAACACTGTAGGGCTTATAAATAGATATATAAAGTTTATGTGGTTGATTGCACAACAATGCATCGCTTGCATTGTAGAATCCTAGTAGAAAAAGAAAAACTAACGTTATGTTAAACCTACTAAATCAAAGTCATAATTCAAAGGGATGAAGGCTACTTAATCGCTGGAGAGGTCTCAAAGAAGTTAAATGTATGATAAACAACAATTGAGCAAACTTCAAATATTTTATACCTTAAGTTACTTAGCTGGTTATTCGAATTCCATTTCTATTCAAATATATCCTTTTAATAAATTAAAGGACTTTGTTGGAAGGAAATGATAAGTTAGTTTTTGCAAATTTATTTGTGGAAGACTAATCAATCTGTTGAAGCAAATGTGTCACATACTCTTATGCACGCATTAAGCTGTTCGAACAAAATAGCAAGTAGCAGCTTCTACAGCAAAACTGATTATTTTTTAGAAGCTTCCTTAGTTGTACATTTAACGTATCTTCCAAATATAAATTTCAGTTATAGCTTTGGAATGACACTCTGCAGTAGAAGAAGCAGGCCGTGGGAAAATGTTAACTAAAGAAAAACAAATACGAAGATTATGTTCGGCCGCGACCGAATCTTCTGTACCCATCGTCAACTACTGAGTTCTGATACTCTGTAGATGTTGTGCATGACTATGTTTTCCTATTTTGTAAAGAAAAAGCGGAAATTTCATGTCGTGTGTTTGAAGAAGATATCTCTATTTTTGTGACCATGCAATCAAAAGACTGATGGGCAAACGAATTGACGAACACGGTTTGAAAAGCATTATGAATTGCCAAAAATCACCATCAAATCATGTGAAGAGAGATTATGCAGAGATAATGTTGCATTTTTGTATGCTGAGGCACACATTCACTGACGATAGTGAAAGTTAATTTAGGAGATAGCAGAAGTTTCATGGAAATCCAATTGTTTAAGAATAATTAAGAAATATTACAGAAAATAAAAAAAAATTTATTATTGACTTAAAGATTATCTTTTTCGTTAAACCGCCGAAATTGCTTTCTTACCAAGCTGTTAACATGTAAACATACCGGTTAATAGACTTTTAGAAAGTGAATATGAAAGGAGATGCAAAATTCAAAGAGAATGAAAATGTGTTCACAGATAAAATAGAAAAATATTCATAGAAAATGAAGAGATGTGTTTAACTAAACGTGTAAGTGCAGAAGCAAAAATCGAAGATATATTCATTATATATAGTTTGTAAAGGAAAATATGAATATTTTATTCGTCTTTAATGCTCACGTTTGTATAATTGATTTTCTTTAATGAGGACAAAAACTACTAAACTATGTAAAATGTAGTAATAAACAAATTAACTCTTTACTTTTCAGGCCTTTCCCTCTTTGTTTATTATTGCAATTTAAATATCATTAAATCAATAATGAAAAATTAATATTTTCATACGTTCTGATTCGTTATATTGGTGAATAATGAAAATCGTAAGAAGTAAATGAAATCCTTAAAACGATACTTACTTCGTGTTGTTGCGTAAGTTTCGTCAATAATCTTTTGCATTTTTAGCAATGTCTCCTCTATGGGTATATAATCTGGTATTTCTCTAAAGTGGGTTATGGTAAAATTTTCTGCTTCAGCTTGTTCCTGCATATAAGCATTCGTTTACCTTTGTGGAAAAATTGCAAAAAAATTTATATTACCTGTATGGCTCGTGCTACTTCTGCACCCCAAATTGGCTTTGAGCTGACAACAATTGCAAATTTCTGCCAGTGAAAAGCGCTTAACAAGCTTATAACACTTTTCGACACCTTAAGCCCATTTTAATTGAAGAAATCATTTTATTAAAAAAGATGGAGAAATTTATTTGCAGTTTCGTAATTGATTCAATATATATGAGGAGGGAAATTTTTATATATGAATGATTGAGTCTAAATATAAATACGAATGCGAATGGGAGTATGAATATGAATGTGTATATGAACATGAATGCGAATAAGAATATGAATTTAAATATGAAAAATTAATCATGAACGTGGATATGAATTCGAAAATAAATATAAATATGAATATGAAAAATGAATATGAATTCAGATTTGAAAATAAATATGAATATAAACGTTTAGATATGAATATGAATTTGAATAAGAATATGAAAAAATGAATATGAAAAAAGAATATGAAATACGAATATGAAAAATGAATTACGGATATGAATATGAATTTGAAAATAAATACGAATATGTATATAAATCCATACATGAATATGGAAAATGCATATAAAATATGAATTAAAAAATGAATATGAATGTGATTATGAAGAATATGAAAAACGAATAATGGATGATGAATATGAATATGAAAAAAAGTACGAATATGAATACAAACCCATACATGAATATGAAAAATGAATTATGGATATAAAATATGAATTTGAAAATGAATATGAATGTGAGTATGAATATAAGTATGAATATGAAAATGACTTTAAATGTTAATATGGTTTCGAATATGAAAAATGAGTAATGAATATGAATATTATTGAATATGAAAAATTAATAAAGATCATAAATATTAATTTCAAAAAAAACAAATATAATACAAATATAAATATGAATATTAAAAATGAACAACGAATATGAATTTGATAGTAAATTTTTTTTGAATGTGGTTATGAATGTGATTATGACTATAAACGCGAACACGAATTTATATATGAATGTGAATTTGAATATAAACATGAATATGAATACTAACATACCTATGAATGTGAATTTGAATATGAAAAGTCAATATAATTGTGAATAAGGATTTGAAGTTAAATCTTAATATGAATAATGAATATCAGTTAATGTAAATGAGCACAAACAATGAACACGAACAATGAATATGAACGTGCCATACAATCAATGAATGTGAATTCAAAATGAACATAGATGTATATGTAAAGATTGAAATAAATATAATTCTCGTTACGCATGTAAATTTACCTTTGAAGCGGGTGCCAACGTACGCGCGAATGTATGAAATATTTCCTTATTTGATACCAACGAATCCGAACATTTCTGCAAATAATTTAAACATAGCCTCTCATTAAAAATTCAAAATAATTCTTTTTAAAAAATATAAAAAAATTCTTCATGGATATGTATAAAAATTCTATAGAATTGTATATTTTGTGAATTTATATCATACGACAGCAAAGACAATTTCCAATAAATTTATATGGAATTTTCGGACTAATTTACTAATAAAGGGATTTTTCTTTTTTTTTAGTTTTCTCTTTTGACTCCATTTCACTTTCTTCATTATGGCAGGAATATTGGCTGGCGTTTACTTCAGTTCTATGAAATTCTAACTTCTAATGGAAACTTAACTATGTTCACCAGACTATTTTGTAAGTTGCACGAGATGGTATTATTTCTGGTTCAATCTGCTTCACATGACAACATTCAAAAAGGCAGCAGTTTTCAAATGTTCCCTTGTGACGGCAAATATCAAACGTTGACTATAACCTAAGTCGCATTGGAATACATACTCTAAAGTATCAACTCCGTCTCTTCTACACCAATACGAAAACGAAGTGAACGGTTTAGCTATCATAGACAATAATAATGAATAGTAGGTGCAATTTGCTTCTATTTCAGATTTCCGAATGCTTGTTCCGTTTAAACGTTTTTTGTTTGTTAAAGTTATTGTTTTCTTTCCATACATCATTGTGTTTTGATTCCGTGTTCTTTCTTTATCTCACCCTCTATGGCATTAGAAAGTATGCTTGCCAACCATAAGAAATGAAAGTAAAATTTGAAATATGAAGCAAGTTCTGAAAACACATTATGTGGCGAAATGCCGGAAATTTATTTTAAAATATTCAAACTTGTTTACGTTGGCATTTATGGGGAAGACAAACAGATGCGAGGAAAATCGCTCACATTTAAACTTGATATTTAGGGACAAATTAATTCACACCGAAACAAAATGTTATTTTTAACTTTGAACTTAACTTTTGAACATGCGTACGTATTATTTTGCTAATACGGATAATGAATTTTTTTCCACATATTCTTGAAAATTCAAAGCAACTACTAAGTCAAAAAAAAATTTTTTTTTTTTTAGAAAATTTACATTTGTCTTGCGCCTTAACGTAGTTTAGCAAAGGAAAAAAGATATGTTCATTTTCATGTTCAGTGATTTTTTAAGGTACACATCTCTTAAACAACGCAATGTAATTTTTTACCCTCTTTCCTCAAAAAAGCTGCATTCTATATTTATTAATCCATCGATGAGACCTTATTGTCCTATGTTTTTGCTTTTGAGTAATTTAATGCAAATTTATGCAAACAATATTCTACCACAGTCCACAATGCGTCCTAAGCGACAATCTTTTTTGCCTTATTTTGCTGTGATACAATATCAAGTTAATTGTGACGTTTAAGTATACGACAAATTTAAATAGTTTCTGGGAGGAAAACAATTTTATTAAATTTACTGTCCACTTACAAATGATATCATTGGTATATTCCATGCTGACGATAATAAGGCTTCCGATATGCAACCTTCATCTGGTCCAATGAATGCAGCAATGTTTTCATCTCTCATTTGGGTCATAAATCTGTAAACAAAAAAGCCAAAGTTGACAGATATAAAAAACTCCGTAAAGCAGATATGGCCAAACCGTGGCACACCAAAGCAATATATAATTGCACGAGAGCGTTATGGGCAACGATTGTTTGTTTTTAAAATTGCTGATCTTATAGACGATTGGATTATGTGAGAATTTATCATTTCTTTAATGATAACACAAATCACTTGGCGGACCCGTAATGGAAGATTAGGTGTATATTATTTAACTGAAATTAGAGATACGGATGACGAACCTTGATCACAGAAAGATTTCGAGTCAAATTGCATCTGCCCGCCTATCCGTTTGTCTATCTACACCTATGTTTATTATTTGTTCGGAGGATACTCATAGTCGCAAGAATTAAAATAAAAAGCTAAAATAAATCCAAAATAGAAAGCGAACTGTCTGCAAGGATACCCTCCTTAATCAAAGTATGACAATCGACGATCTCGAATAGATATTAATCTAAAACTCAAAAATATTGCCCAAATGTTGTACACGAATCGCTTATAACAAGGAAACGTTTCAAAATGTTTATGCCTTGGAATTATTCGACTATGGTTCTTCTCCTTTATTAGCTCTATTGTGAACCATGTAAAGTCTTCTCCCCCCTTCGCCCTGTTCCTTATCGAAAGCACTTGCTCTCCTTATATGATGCTGCACATACGCACAGTCTGTGTTTCAAAATCTTGGACAAGTCAGGATTGAAAGTATTCATTCAAAAGTTTCAATTTTGACAGGTGAGTTATTCGTACAGAAGCGTCAACAAATTTACAAAAGCAAACCTTTAAAAAATAGCCTCAAAAAACGAATATTTAATTGCTAAAACAATTGAATAAACGGAAATGTAAAAAAAAAGTTTAACGTTATACTTGTTGAAGTGAATCTGATGAATATATACAATTTTATATAAATATGTGACACCGTACCGATGATTGGGGGCATATTCATTTTGTTAATAGGGTTGTAATGTACAGAAGGAAGTTTCAGCCAGTCTCTCCGTCTATGCATTTACTTGTCCATCTGTGCATCTTTTTAATGTTTAAGAGAAATTCATTGGAAACTCTTGCAGGCATCTCAGTATTGGAATTGGATCAATTCGTAGAAAATAAACCGAGAATGCCGCTTACATGTCTTATGTAACTTACAACTGCAATAGCTACAACAATGGAAACTCCTCGAACATTGTGACGTTTACAAATTTCATTCTTATTATGTCTTATTAAATTTTTTAACGGAGATGGTGGGTACTCAAGATTCAACCGCAGCGAAATATAATTTTTTTCTTGTGACGATTATGCTGAAAGTTTTTCATATTAAGCGAAGAAGAAAGTGTTTTCAGGCATTTTCAAATATGCAATTGTTATGATTGCTATAAAACGAATTATTCGATTGCTTCGCTCATATATATATATATACTTATATATAAGAATTCTACTTTAGGTCGAAATCTCTTTGTACTAAGCGAAAAATTTTGCTTCTATATATAGTTTATAACAATTGCTGCATGCTTAGCGGTAAAAAACGAACCAAGACAGTGTTTGCCTTTGGATGACCTATAGGCTATAACTGAAAATAAATGAGAAATTTTTGGAAGTGTCAATCACAGAAGTTTAATGTTTTTATGTATACCGACATGAGTTGAGGAAACAACGCAAAAAGAAATATGTTAGGTGTATTCATCAATATGCGTAAATATATTTGAATCGAGATTAATTTTCGAACTTGATGCATAAGAAGAGATGTGGGAGATAGTTCTACTGTTACACGGACATAATAAAGACTTCAACTGGCAGATAGATAAACATGTTCCCATCGATTCGGCTGTTGGAACAAATGTTATGACGAATGTTATCGATAGACTGTCTAATCCATTATATTTTCATGAATAAAATATCATCATGGACATATAAGCCATAAATCTATTGGCTTAGTCCATCTCTGTTCAACATACCAAAAAAAAAAAAAAAAAAAAATATCATCATAATAGAGTTTGTTTGTTTGTTTTTGTAAAACAAAAAGTGCATGAACAAAAGTAAATTGCAAATGAGCGGCAAACAATTTAAATTATTTTATATAGTTTGTTGAGCGGCTGAAATCCTTAAAGTTATTTATGCATACTATGGAAATTTAAAATAAAGTTATTGCAATAAATTATGCTTTATATTATTTAAGGCTTCCATTGTACACTTTTTACCTTATTGGTTGTACACGATACAGGCCAGTTTTTGGTCCAACGTCAAAAGCTTTAAACGCCAAACGTTTGCCGGGTAATAAAGTTGGATCCTTATTAATTGCTTCCACCGCCAACGGCAGACCACCTAAGGTTACCTGCATTGAAAAACAATACATTTTTTCATCTGTTTAAGTTGTTAATAAAACGTGTTCATATGAACATGTCAAACCTTTTACTGTTCATAGTTTCAGAAATAATTATTTGTGGAAAAAGGAGCAGAGCAACCTATTTTGCGGCAAAACTTTATAAGTTTTGTATGAAGTGCAAAATTTCAGTTGTAAACTTTAAAGAACTTTTACATATTTGGCTTTAAAACTATGTGTATCCAAACGATCATAATAAACTGCTGGTGTATACTATTTCATAAAATTCCTTCCTGTTTACGTTTTATTTAAATGTTCCTAGTACACCTTAAATTAGGCCGCGTTTGAGAATAGCGTACGACCTTATTTATAGTTGAGAAGGTTAAAGCAACTTATTTTTAACTACTACAGATATACATGCCATTCCACGACAGTTCACACTTTATCGAATTCCTTCCTTAAAGGCCACTATTCAATTTTCCCTGTTGAAGCGAATACTGGTCTTATAAACCTAACAAACCACGAATGATACGCTTTGTTTTGTTGTTTTTGTTAATCCTCTTGCCTTCTGAATTATCCCTTTTTCCCCTACCTATTTACTTCTGTTAATCCTCTTGTAAGTGGAACGTCATTTTTCATTCATAAGAGGTAAACTTTCGTTAATTCTCAACTGCATAAATGTGCCTTTATCCCATGGACACTATTGGCATCGAAAATTTTTATATGCTTTTATTGCTTGCTTTACATTTCTACAAATATCATCTTAAATAGAATGAGACATCTTTTATCGAATCTCACGTTGCCATGGTATGATGTTTTTGCACAAATATTTTAAAAAAAGTCAACTCTGTTTAATATTTGTTGACAGTCTATACAAAGCTATTGAAGATGATTGAAGCGCACGGGCGAATAGGAACGAAAGATGGATGGATGTGCAAAATGTGAAGAGTAAGGGAGAGGCATTAGTAAGAGGATGGGACAAATGGGAACAGAAGAAAAGAGAGGTGAACGTGTTGCTCGTGCTAACACAGGCCATTACCGGAGAACAATATTGGGCGGACTTACCACAGACATATGATATACGAAGGGAAACATACGAGACAAACGAAGGTGGAAAATATCTATGGTGGATATGTAAAAAAAAAAGCAAATTCATTCTCCTGTAGCGTACGAATGAGAAACACGCTCATGGGATTCCAGGAAAAGATGGCGATGCCCGCAGACGAAAGACTGTATTAAGTGGCAAATTGGAATTGAACTCACGGTGCGTCGACTTGGTATTAGAGTATAAAACAATACAAACAGTGTGTCCTTATTTTTCAGTATTAAACATAACTATATTCTTGATTCATGTTCAAAAGAGACGCTACTCTACTACATTCGTAGCTGTTGTTGTAATCCAAAGTGGTAATTTTCTTTTTTAATTTTAAATTCATTATTAAAAAGTTTGTAGTTTTTATCGAAAGTATTCTGCCTTTGTCAAGATTGGCGCGTGTAAAATGTCTATGAATTGTGTTAATAAAAATTTTTCTCATTTTTAAATAGAAACATATACATATATGAATATGTATGCATTAGTTGTGTTTTCGTTGCACTCTATATAACTCAATTTTTTTTTTTTTTTTTAAGAAAAACAGAATATTGTTTTGAAATTGAAGAAATCATGAGCCAAGTTGGAAATGTTATTTCTGTATCCTATTTATCGAAATCTATATTTACATTTCATTAATATGTAGAGCACGATAAAGACGAAGTGAAATTTCAACACGAACAAAAGTATTGATATAAAATTTTCTAAAACTACAATATAGAAAATCTGTATTAAGAATTTGATGAAAGCGATACAAAACTTCCAAGGAACTGGCATTTCACTAGAAAGATAGTATAATTCTTTTTTATATTCCACATCACTTGGTACACAAGGTATATTAAGTTTATTCGGATCTACGTAACACTTAGAAGGACCCAACAAGATGATGTTTCAACTATTGGATAAGCAAACAATTTCTCAGTATGTTTGGATAAAATTCAAATTTACCTAAAACATACTTATCGGCTACCTTAACGCGCTTCGCTTATGCGTAATGGGGAAAACTGCGCCGTCCTTAACGTGTTAAGCACGCTTTGGCCGTACTTGGCTTTGGCTTAGTGATTTCGAGGCGAAAAAGTCGTCGAACCGTACGCTGAATATGACGGCATTGACCTGAATAAGTGGTAACCGGAGGGAGGCAGATCTAGAATAAGCCGGAAAAGTTCTCAGCTCAAATTGTAGCTCAACAGCACTGGCTTGGTTGTGAAGCAAAACCATTTGTCATTCGTCTTTCTTGTCCCGTTAATGGTCTTTTGCACAACTATAAGTTTTGGCAATTAAGAGGAAAAATCTTTTTAGAAAACAATATGGGAAGTTTTCAATCGCATTTTGGATTTTTTAAATAATGCGTTATGTGAGTTTCATACGGTTTTCAGATATGTGTGATTTATATACATAAAATTCGACGTATGAAATTAATTACGAATATAGAAATGTAGAAAATGAAGAAAATATCAACAGTAATAAATGCATGCATACTTGCAGCGGTAAATGTTATATACCGCTTTTCAAAAACATGCTTGTTTACAATCATTTTCAGGGTTAAAGCGAAATTTAATGAGAAAACCTTTTTTAACAGCTTTTGTAATCAATATTATTTTTCATGGCTACAATTTTATTCATGTGTGCGTTCAGCTTAACACAATTATTTAATAAATACCAATAAAAATAATGTGTATATGTATGTATATGTATTACATTCTGTCGAGGGATTTTCTACATTTGTGTTTAATTTAAAGAGCAAATAATTTCAAATGCAAGTTTTCGTACGAATTGAATGCCTTTGATCTACTAAATCATTCTAAATGATTAATCATAAACATTTATTCAATTTTAATTTAATTATTGAAAATAACTTTGCAACTCCTAAAGATTTAAAGTTATCTTAAAGAATATATAGAAAATATTATATAAAGGCTGGCATATAGGCAATAAGCTGCAAGAAGTTTACGGAGAATTTTTAAGACTTTTTTAAATCGATATAAGTCCAGGTGTGGAGAGCATTTTTTTAAGTACGAACTGTTTGCTGGCCTTTTCAAATACTTATGCGTAATTTCGTGTAGATATCTGTTAAGCCTGTACGAGAAGATTTGTGAGGAGGAATAATAGTGTCACGGAAAAGATGACGTTAACACCATTGACATATACATACATATATATATATATAATTATAGTTAGTATGCCTGAAAAGGTATATAGTGAAAAATCGAAATTCTGGTTGAAAAAAGGGCGTGATCGGCATATGTCTTGTTATAAAATACTTTTGTCTATGTGAGTATTCATTGCTTTACTATTTTAATCAACGAGTGAATTAACGATTTCACAGAAAGCTTCTCCCTTAACTTAACATCTCTCGACTTTCCGCTTTTTTTGCCACTTCTCGAGGCACGGATCGACCAATTTCATGAGTAATCGTTAGAATTCCATCAATGATGTTACCAACGCAATGACAAAAAAAACTTATCCCCATTTCTCAGAGTAGTCAATATTATTAAGAAAGCAATGTTAAATTCGATGTCTTGGCACGAAATAGGATTAATATGGAATACAATGAATTAACAAAAAAATTTAAATAAATGTAAGGAAGATCTCTCAAATAAATTCTTTACATATTTTTAATGCATAAAGACAATAAGCCTGTAAGCAATTGCAGTAGTTTCGATAAACAAATCCAATGAAATTTCAAATGAGTATTTAATCGAATCATCTTAAGTTTTCTTATACGAGTGCTCGCTCATGTTCTTCCAACTGTTTAGTTGGGGAATATTTTTTTTCTGTCTTCAAACTGCAAATAAAAGCATAAGTGTCTACGTAGAAATTTTCTCTTTAACTGACATGACTTACAGAACTACAAATACTAGTGAAAGTAAATGTTTTTATACCCATCGCCGAAGGACGAGGGATATATTCATTTTGCTAAAGAGGTTTGCAACGCCAGAAAGAAGCTTCAGACACCACACAATGTGCATGTACTCTTGATCAGCATCAAATTCTAGATCGATTGAACTAGGGTGTTCGTCTGTCCGTCTGTCCAATGGTGTGAACCTTCTCCCGCAAAACCGCAGCTAGAGATCTTAAATTTGGCAGAAACTTTGAAATGCAAGTTGGTATTACAACTGGACCAAAACGGTTGCAGGGCACGCCCACATTACGAAGTTAACTGAAAACACACTTTTTTTAAAAGTATAACAAATTGTCTTCTGCTCCTGATTCATTTTTATAGCAGATAAATCTACAAAAATTTGAGCATGTATTCTATGAACGATGATGTAGTCCCTGTACAAAAGTGGGTAAAATTGACGACGCTTACCCAAATTTATAGTGTATGAAAATTAAAATCTTTTTTTTCAAAAGCAAACCTCCAAACCCCATAAACTACACAAAGTTTAAATTCGAAATGCATCTCTGTTTGCCTGACAATCGGTCCGCTTGCGCAGCATTTGTTGTAACCCATCTCGTCTTCGCAAAAATTAAACTTGCAAAAGAATTTAAAAATGACCCAAACCTTTCAAGGAGCACGCCTACAAGTACCACACGTCTATGTAATAAAAACTGTGAATATCTTCGTCGTCTGGGTTTTTTGCTTGTTACCTCAAAAACTACAACACCTACACAGAATAGATTTCCATATTTATTCTAAAAATAGAAAAAGTCAACCGCGCGTAGTGAAAATTATAGATTATAGAAGTTTCTCACGATGGTGGGTATAAAAGAGTCGGTTACGACCGAATATAATTCTCTTACTTGTTTTTGCTTCTTCTGTCTGAAAAGTGTAAATAAAAGTTTAGTTGAGGGTAAAGACTTAAAGACTTTGAAATTTTCTTTTCAACTGAATTGACTTACAGGGTTACAATACAAGTAGAATTACATATATTTTGTGTGATTTTAATAGACATGTCTCTACGCATTAAAAGACATTCTT